TAAAATCTGGAAACAGAGTTTAACGTTGTTGCCTGTTGGAATTATGAAGAAGTAGATTTAGATGCGTGGAGTTAGTTAATTTCATATATGAGCTGGATCCACTCTCACAGGACTGTCCCACTTTTTTAATTCTTTAATTTTATTATTAGCCTAAAAAACAAAGAAATTTTAAGTTTCAAGCTGAGACAAGCTATCCCTTCTTCAACTTCATCAATCTCTCTAAATATATTATATATATATATATTATAGATTACCAAATTTTCCCTTTTATTAATAAATTTTAATTATTGTGCCAAAATCTCTCTTCTTTCTCTCAAATTCTTTGCGTATCTCAACTGGGTTCTTTGAATTTGGAACAGGCTACATCACAATCACTCCCTTTTGCTTCCATGTCAAGTTGAACTCCAAGCATGTAAATTCTCTACCTTTAGTTTTTTGGGCTTTTGCTTTTGCGTATCACTTCTTTGTTTCTTGTTTTCTGTATCCAAAGTCTCAAAATTTTTGAGCTATGAATCTCAGTAACGACAAAGGATCCATGTCTACCGCCAGTTCTAGTGTTGTTTCCGATCAGTTTCCGGCAGGTCTTAGGGTCCTTGTTGTTGATGATGATCCTACCTGTCTCAGGATCTTGGAGAAGATGCTTAGGACTTGCCTTTATGAAGGTATTATTCAGCTTTTTTCTTTTTTGAATTCTAGTGTTGTTTCTTCCGTGGGTTTATCTTAATATTTTCTTCTTTTTGTGTTTGTTGGAGTTGTTTTTGTTTTCATTTTGGGTGTGTCAAGGCATGTATGTGACTTGTGTATGATCATTTCTTATGTTTTTCTTGTGTATGTTATGATTTTGTTTGTGGGTTTGTTTCAGAATCTTATCAAATCTGGAATAACTTTGAGCCACAAGTATGGTCTGAACCAAATCATGGTTCATGCTAAAGCTTGTGACTTGGTTTAACTTACCACGTTTTGTGCACTTTTCTTATGGTTTTGTATGATTCTGCTTTGTTTTAGAGATCACTGACTGTTCTAGTTTGCGCATATATGCAGAAAGGGATTTCATTTTCTTGTGACTGTGTTTTGTTTAGATGTATTTGGGCGTAGAGCTCTTTAATTTGATGAGTGATTGATTTAGTTTATGTGGGTTTTCCAGTGACAAAATGCAATCGAGCAGAATATGCGTTGAACCTGCTTAGGAAGAACAGAAATGGGTATGATATTGTTATCAGTGATGTCCACATGCCTGATATGGATGGATTCAAACTCCTTGAGCACGTTGGGCTGGAGATGGACCTGCCTGTTATCAGTGAGCACTCCTATCTCGATATGTTTACATGGATTTCAGATCTTTGAATTGAACTAGTTTGAACTAACTTAGCGTGCAATTTGTGTAATTGTACAGTGATGTCTGCGGATGATAGCAAACACGTTGTAATGAAAGGTGTGACTCATGGTGCTTGTGATTATCTAATCAAACCTGTTCGAATTGAGGCACTGAAGAACATATGGCAGCATGTAGTTAGGAAGAGGAGGAATGAGTTGAAGGATATAGAGCAATCAGGAAGTGTGGAAGAAGGAGGAGATCGGCAACCAAAACCATCTGAAGAGCCAGATTACTCTTCCTCAGCAAATGAAGGAAGTTGGAGAAAGAGGAGGAAAGATGAGGAAGAAGAAGCAGAGGAGAGGGATGATACATCCACATTAAAGAAGCCACGAGTAGTTTGGTCAGTTGAGCTCCATCAACAGTTTGTGGCTGCTGTTAATCAGCTAGGCATTGACAGTATGAATCTTTTGGCCTTATCTTTTTATCTGTTGATGCTTTTTAGCTGCCTATTGTTATATCACTACCTACAAGGAATGAGAAAACTAGTTTAGATGTGTCTCTATCTCATAAATATTGCTGAAAACTCTTTCAGTTGAGATGAGAAAGTAATCTATGTTTAGTTTCATTGCAATTTCTCTCTCTCTCATTTTGTTCATTGGTGAACACTTCTGAGTTCTAGCTGAAATTGTCACCCGTGGGATTATGGATTAAGCCTTAAAGATGCTTTACTTGTTTTCATTTTTATTAATATTTATTTATTTCTAGATGAATTTAGAGAAAAATGTACGATGTCTCCCTATTTGACTTGTCCATATCCTTAAACTGTTGCAAAATGTCCCTTGACTTATGTTTTTGCATTTGGTGTATACTACAGAGGCGGTTCCTAAGAAAATTTTGGAGTTGATGAATGTCCCTGGGCTTACTAGAGAAAATGTTGCTAGCCACCTTCAGGTATCGTAGGATACAAATTTTCAAGATAATTTTTTTTTTTTTTTGTGTGTTTTTCTTGTGTGCCAACCCCATGTTATGTAATGATTTATCTCTCTGGAATTTCTTTCTTACCTCAGCAAACTGACTATTCAACTGTTTGCATTGTGGTACAGAAATATCGCTTGTATCTAAGAAGACTAAGTGGTGTTTCGCAGCACCAGGGTAACTCATTTATGAGTCCCCAAGAACCACCTTATGGACCCTTATCTTCAATTAATGGGATTGACCTTCAAACACTTGCTGCCACTGGTCAACTCCCTGCACAAAGTCTTGCCACACTTCAGGCTGCGGGACTTGGCCGGTCATCTGCAAAGTCTGGTGTACCGATGCCCCTTGTTGATCAAAGGAACATTTTTAGCTTTGATAATCCAAAATTAAGATTTGGGGAGGGGCAACCACAACATATGAGCAGTGGTAAACAAATGAACTTACTACATGGAATTCCAACAACAATGGAGGCAAAGCAACTTGTCAATCTTCACCATTCTGCACAATCCCTTGGGGGCATGAACATGCAAGTCAGTGTGCATGGAGCCCAGAGTGGCCAGAGCAACTCTTTAATGATGCAGATGGCTCAACCACAATCAAGAGGGCAGATAATAAATGAAACTGCTGGAGGTCAAGTTCCAAGGCTTCCAACATCAATGGGGCAACCCGTATTATCGAATGGGATTGCTGGTGGGGTCTTGACAAGAAATGGGGTTGGTGAAAATGGCAGAGGAACAGGCTATAACACCGTGTCACAAACATCTTCAATGTTAAATTTCCCTCTGAACCACACACCAGAATTGCCAGGGAATAGTTTCCCTCTGGGAACTACACCAGGAATATCAACTCTCACACCTAAAGGGCCATTTCAGGAAGATGTTAACTCAGATATAAAAGGATCAGTAGAATTTATGTCCAGTTATGATATCTTTAATGATTTGCAACAGCACAAACCCCATAGTTGGGAGTTGCAGAATGTAGGCTTGACCTTTGATGCCTCACAACATTCAAACTCTATGCCAAGCGGTGTCGATGTCACACCTTCAGTCTTAATTAATCAAGGATATTCTTCTAGCCAAAGGAGTGGGCAGAACAGTAATGCCCCACCAATAAGCAAGGCAATGTTCTCAGTTGGGGAAGCTACTGAGCATGGGAATTCGCAAAATATTGGTCAACATCTCAACAACCTTCTTGTTGACAATTCGATGCGAGTTAAGACCGAAAGAGTTCCTGATACAAGCTGTCCGCCTACTCTCTTTTCTCAACACTACAGTCAGGGGGATCTCATGAGTGCACTTTTGAAACAGGTTTACTTTAGTCTATACATTGTTTTGCTATCTTTATAAGCACTTGCATATGGATTTTGATTAAGTTGAGATTTTAATCATTCATACTATTTTTTCTTCTGATTCTAACAGCAGGATGGCATTGACCCGGCTGAAAATGACTTTGAGTTTGATGGTTATTCCCTGGATAATATTCCCGTTTAGTCGTGTGGTTCATTCACCAGTTCTCTTCATGATTGCAGTATTTGATGTACATATTAGCCATCACACAACTTATTGTAAAATCACGTCTGCAGTCAGTAGATAGAGAAAGAAAAAGCATTGTACGATTTCATGTAGCAGTGTCTTCCTTTGCGACTCTCATGTTGTGCTGGTTTCATTTGGACATAAGAAGATCAGACCAATGTATGGTTGGGATTGCGATCAATTGTGTTGGAAGATAATTGTGAAGCATTGAAAATACCGGTGCATGATATGCAAAGGCGATCATGCAAAATTTTGACTGTTTTTGGTAGCAAATCTAGCAAGAAGCAACTAATTTTAGGGGATTTGTGATGGTGTCCGTTGGTTTTGAGGGCATCCCTCGAGTCACGGCAACATTGTCTTTAGACATTTCTGCAGACTTGTAGGAGCCTATCTAACATTAATAACACTTAAAAAAAGTTTGGCTGCTTTTTCATTTTCAGTATCCCATGCTATCTTTGTATTTCCTTATTGCTTCTTTTTCCTCATTTAAGCAACCGAATTTGCTGTACATATTCCATTTGATTGCTCAACAAAAGTCTGGGTATTCTCTCTTTTTATATTTTCGGGTTGTTTTCTTGTACTTGAAAGTTGAAGAGATTCTATTTGTTATGCTATATATTAGCTTTGGCTTCTTTCTCTCGTGTGTAATTAACCTCTGAAAGGAGAGTGTTGCTTATATATGAATATGCAAATATGACTCTGACCATACATGTTTTGCTTGAACTCTCGAAATCCATTTTAATTCTGTAATCTTTCCGCTGAAAACCAGCTTAGATTGAATCAGAGATGTTATATTGCACATAAATTTACACAAAATTTTGTGAAGAACGATGATTTTAAGACTTTAGTGCCATTTAAACTTCTATTACTCAAAAGCATAAAGAGTCTCTGATGAGTTTTGATAAATCCAATATTCTCTGATGAGTTTTGATAAATCCAATTTAAGTAGTTATGTCATTCAGCTGTTTCAGAATAAAGAAAGTTCAAAGACTATATAAATACAACATTTAATGGAACATTACAAATGTCGAACACATTTTCTAGTAACAAAGCCATGTGAGAACACATAAAATGACCATCACAACATCCTAGAAAGGCAAAAAATATGAAGAGACATAGCATAAAGAATCAAACTATGCGATCCTGTTCAATGATAGTGTCCACATCACATGAAATTCTACAATCGTTTCATATGTATTGTTATCAGTGTAGTTGTATTCACCTGCACATTCAATATGTGCAGATCTACAGCGTGCCTATCAGTCATAATGATGAAAGATATATCCCGGATATGAAAATCAAGGCATACATGTCATTTGGCAACGCAAAATCTCCCGGCTGAGCATGTATTAATCGAAGTAGTGAAAGAATAAAAAAAATCAGCCGCAGCTATAACACCAAATATTGTCTCACCGACAGCTATTGCTGCTGCATCAACAAGAATACCACTACTGCTAGAAGGACAGAAAGGATAAAAAATGGGCCCTTCCTGTTACTGTCGCTTGCTGGAAGAATTGAGGGAAGAGAACATTCCTCCCCATTAAAGAAAACTTTTGTTGGAAACCCATCTCCAGCAGGCACATTGATTCCAGGGGTATTTTTCTTTTTAAATGAGATCACTGACTGTTGCTTCCCAGGCACCCTAGGATCCTTCTCTGGATTTGCTCCATCTGTTTCTGGCACAAGATAGTTCAATCCTGTAAGACCTTGCAATAATACGGTACTGTTGCCACTACCCAAGACAGTTCCATTGAATGAGTATGCTGCTTCAAAACCAGGTGCTCCTTTGTCCAGTTGCACTGCGGCAAACCAATCAGGAAAAGCAGTCTCATCCCAGTTGAAGAGGGTCATTCTTGCTGTCCATCCACCAGTGTAGTCTGTATATAAATGCCAATTGATACTGACCCCACAATTATCTCCACAGGGCATGGGATTTGGCACCGTCAGGTGCTTAAGATCAGCCCAAGCTCTCATCAGAGAAGTTCGATTCTCAAAAGGAACCAAAAGTGCCTCAGGTGGAAGAAGAATAGCTGAAGCCGTAGTACTACAAGTTCGCCCTACATTACTGGGGCATCCGCATGCACAAGTCTTGCACGGGACAACAGAATCATTGTAGTATGCAGAAAATGATACGCAGCATTTTGGGCTTGCCCCCTTTGGCCTTGTAATATTGCACACAATCTGCCAGCTAGCAAAGGCGGTTCTATTAGATACACCACTTGCATCAAGGGATTGGCTAGGGCTCACCCTCACCGGAGGGCCACATTGATAATTAGGGTTGAAACTGCCATTGATCTTCCAGTTCTGAGGTGGGACAAGCTCGGATCGGTTAAGATCTGGCGGCATTTTGTACACCTGCATTTGGAAAACTGAAGTTGACTTGCTAGGGTCCATAGATGGCGGCAAGAGAGTACCATTTCGGCAACAAAAAGGGACCAGCCCGAGGGTTGTGTCATTGGCCTTCGTTGGAGGGAGGTCAATTATGGTTGGCCTTCTTTCGCAATTTAATACGGTGGAAAAGTCTAGTTCCTTGTAGTATGTACCTTGAGGGCCATAAAGACAGTCTGATGAATCAGCAACATATGGGTAGGCCCCTTTCATAGTGTAGACAAATTCATCATGCATCCAGTCCCAGCTCAATTTCCAATTATCAAGACGGCCAAGGGGGTTGTGGTTTGCAATTGTAACCTGTGCCCAGTAATTTGAGTCATATGTCCTGATCACATCATACATGATTGTAAGATCCCCATTTTGGCGAGGTAGGAAATCATCATCAACGGTGATGTTTGATTTAGCATTCACATCTCTGGTGCAACAAACTTGCATCTGACTTGTACCTGATTAATCCACCATTGAGCTCATCAAGCACACACAAAGACCATATACACAAACGACAAAGTCATATGTATTTTCCAAATTATGATCAAATATACTTAGTCCACAAAGGTAAAAATATTATGATCATCAAACAAGCCCTCAGCTAACAAACAGAACATAAACAGATCTTCAGAAATAAATAACATATCTCTATTAATAACCTTCTTAATAATTCAACAAGGTCTTCAACCTATCCCTTAAAATTTGGACACAGTAAAATCAAAGTCAACAATTTACATCCGCAACAAACCCTTAAAACATCATTCTTACTTGACCAGAAAATTTCAATGAGTATATGATACACTATGTGACACACAATTATAGGGATGATATAAACGAATGTTAAACCATTCTTGATCAGGTTCTCAATGTTTCTCCTAACAAATAGATTGATCTTGTTACAGCATTATAGTTTTCACCTACCAATTATCAGTCTCCCTCACCACATCATCATCATAGAAAGTAAAGAATGAACCAAAAACACATTAAAAAAAATCTAACCTAAAATAGCCGCATCCAAAAATCCAAAAGCAAGAAAACAAACACACTAAAAACAGAACAGAAGAAATAAAAAAACATATCTTTACCTTGCATAGTAGCTTGAGAGCACAAAAACCCATCATTAGCGAGACTAATATTCTTGGGCATAGGCACAGCAGGCGATTTAACACCAAACTGCGTCCCCACCATTTCAACCTGCACCTGCATCTGCGTCAAATCACCCGCCGTCTCCACCGCCGTCTTCAAGTCCGTCATCGGGTACCCAGTAAAAACGGTACCGTTCCCCACACTCGCTGGATAGCTAGTCCCATCAGACAACACCACGTTCGAAGCTGAAACCAACAACTCCTCGTGCTGAAATCCTACGAACGCTTTCCAAGACTTGAGCTCTTCAAGTCCGTTATTCAACACCGTTAAAGTTGACTCGAACCGGTACGCTTGGTGAGTCGGATTGTCCGGCGGAAGCTTCGATCCGCAGGTGTAGGTGTATGTCAAGAACACTCCGCTGCACGAATCCGCCGCCGGTGCTGGCGCCTCCGCCGTTGGTGTGGTTTGACAGATCGCGAGCGGTATCATCGTAAACATAACTAAAATGATAACCCAGTTCAAAGCCATGACTTCTGTTTCTGTTTTTGTTTCTGTTTCAGTTTCAGTTTTTGTTTTCCGGGATTTGATTTGAGAGAGTTTGAAAATGCTTTTGTAGAGTGTTGGAAGGAAACGCGTAAGTGAAAGATGTAATAATAAGACAGCCTAGTGGAAGCTGTAGTTTGAAAACATGTTTTTGTTTTCGGTTTTTTTATTTTTGTTTTGGTTGTTTCCTTGAAGTATTCTCATTTCGCGTGAGTTTTATAATGACTAAGTCGAGTCGTTTCAATGGACTTTTTTTTTTTATCTTTTATAATTGGGGTGTTTGGTAATTTTTTTAATTTATTAAACGATTTATAAACTCAAATATTAGACGACCATTTGTGGGAAAAAAAAAATAGTGTAATACTAAACCTTCCTAAAAATACTCATTCTAATACTATTCTCATCCAAATAGGTTTAATTTCGGAGTTATGATGAATTGGTACATTAATATTGATATTATTCTTATCTAAACACCTTTAATTTCGGAGTTCTGATGAGATAAATACATTAATACTAATATGATATGATCGTACCCATTTAAATGGAATATTGGTTGTTTCACCGTGTTAGTTTAGTTTAGTAGTATATTATGTTTTTTGTTTTCGGAATTTAAAAAACAAGAGAAAAATGTTTTTGGGAAGTGTTTCCAAATTTGTATTAGTTGTAAAGGAAAGTGCCGTTGGATATATGGAATGGAACTTTCTCTTCTCTCTCTATTTTTTCCCCATTTTGAATTCATGATGAACGTGACATGTTGTGGGCACGTCTTTGTGCCCGTTGCGTCCACCTTTTTCTGTTTAATGGGCTTTTACATAAGCCCATTTGGGTAAACCAAATGGGCTTTTTATTGGACCAAAGTTGAAGCCCAAGGCCCAATTATTATTTTTTTGTTTTTAAAAGATTAGGCGTAGTTGAGTTGAGTCAGCAGCGTTTGTGAATTCACGCCTAGAGTTTGACTAAATCTTTCTTAGTTTACACGTTTTATGAAAAATCACGGCGAAGGAGAGGGTCCATCCATCATACAATTATTTAATGCAATAATTAATGGAAATGTTTTGTTGGTGTATTGACATTTTATTGAAGAGTTGATATTGACATTCTATGTCAAGACATTAATTTTTCTAAGCTCTTAGTAATAATCAATCATGTGGGGTTTGAATATAAAGAGAATTTGGACTTCAAAGGCATAGTGAGAATGACATTCAGCATCTTGGAAGGCCTCCAAACTTAGGATTCTGCCTTCCGAAATTGACAAATTAAAACATGTTATTGTTATAGGTTCAGTAATTGACAGCTAGTGCTGATGTTATCTAATATTATCGAATATCAAACATAAAATGGCAACAGGATGATTAAATTATATGTTTCTTTTTTAAAATACTAAAATTTAGCTTTTGAACTTGTATATTTTGTGGGTATAGGCTAGAGTGAACCAGATACAGAGTTACTAATTCAGCTCTGAAATGTAAACACCTGAATTCAGGAGCTTTGAGCAGTGGCCAATTATTTTAAACAGGCTTAGTCAATTTCATACTCTGTTAAACAACTAAAAAAGTACAACTACTCAAGGATGGCATGTAAGTGTGGAAGGCAATTTTCTGATGAGACTGCCTAAACTCACCATACAATGAAGCCCCAGAAGACTCATTCAACTTAAGCATTTCTGCAGAAACTTTACTAACACTTCTGACAAACCTTCTGCTTACTTGAAGCTTTAACTTGATCTTGATTTTGTGACATCTTCTTTGCTCGGTTGCTCCTGCACAAGATGACAGCCCTACCGGACTCCGGCAAAGTTGCTCAGTTTCACAAACTTGCTTGCTACATTTGCGTCCCCACTGCCTGCTCAACCCTCTAAACCAATTCATGGAGATGCTTACAGAATGTGTTTGTTTGCATGCAGCACACTTTTGTAACTTTTTCAACAATCTAGTCCACTTATAAAGCGGAGCTAGATTGTGACAATATTGGATTTCTGGCAATCAATTAATCGGCAGCTTGCAATAACTGCATGAGCTCATCAATCAGAATGCATTTTCCCAGAAATAAATGAGAATCTAATCCATCTTATCAGTAACAAAAGGCATTGTTTATCATCATGAGTACTTCATTATTCGAATCAAAACATGATACATCTTCACTAATAGTCATTTATCCAGAAAAAGGCTCTGTGGTTGATTATAAAATAAAATTTTCAGCAGTTGCTTTTTCATGTACGTGATCAAAGGGTCTCGGGAAGGTCATTTTCTGTTTTCTTGCTCTTTAAAAGGCATGTGAGTGCGATCCCATGTATAGAGATGACCTGAATTTCTTGCAAACTTGACCTCACATCTTCTGTTTGTTTGCACTTCTCGATGTCAGAATGATTAGTTTCATGGAGAAAAAACAAGATCACCATTAATGTTGATATGGCAAAGATTCTCTTGGAAGGATTTAATTGGATACGAACAAATCTTAAATCCTAAAAACGACACAAAATAATCACACACACAAACATGAGATTTATAGTGATCCACTCTCAGTATGAGAGCTCCATCCATTTTGCCGTTACAGAATTTTAATACGAAGAAGAAGAAAATAAATTACAAGAATCTCTAAAGTCTCACAAATTGGCTAATTCACTAAACCCTATTTGATGGTTCTTACTCTCTAATTATGGTTTTACCTTCTATTCAATTTGTGATATCTAACTCTAAGACTTAACCCATTTTTTTTATAGGTAATACATGAGATATTATTCATAATAGGACTCAAATCTTATATCCTAATACGAATTTTATTTTAATTCCTAAAACAGTTATAATCCTATTCTCAATTGTATTCTTAAAAGAAAATAATTCTATTTAAATACAAATTATGAAAACCCATGCCCTAATCCAACTCTAATTTGGATTAAATCTGGCTCCAGAATCTCAACAGATTCATGAGAAACTGTGAAAGTATTTACCATGTAACCGCTTCCACATAATTCACCTGATCTAAGTAGATTCTTAATTTGCTATGATGTGTCACTTGAAGCTTTCTACAACAACCCAACTTCAGTTGCAGAATCATACGAGACCTGTAATTTTATCAAAATTCACCCTTATTTCTTTTTACTAATCTATATTTCATACTTTCTTAAGAACTTTTCTTCATTTCATCGATAAGGGCAATTAAGATTGACGCAGTTGTTAAAGAATATGTCAATTTTATTGATAAGGGTAGTTAAGATCATTTCAAAGGAGAGCAGATGTTGACCTGACACAGATATTCCACCAATTTGACCTCTAAATTTAGGCTAAAAACAACACAAAACCTTTGTCTGATTCAATGGCAGCAGTTGAGTACAAACTTAACCTCTCCTTCGACAAAGACATTAATGGTTTAATACCAGAATAACCACTACATTGACTGTTGCTCATTAAAGACTCAAGAACATTAAAAAAAAATTATCAGAGGTAATTTATAATTTTTCTAAGGATTACATAAACCAAAGTCAGTGGCTATAGATGGCATGTGGGATGAGAATAAAGTTGTTGATGCGTGATTTTGATATCAATTAAACGCATGTGAAAAATGTTGAGATAACTTAAAAGACATACGTGTATGAGGGCATTGAACTGAATAGAAAATAAAGAACAGTATTTAAAGTGGTTCGGATTCTTAAGTAAGCAAATCCTACATCCACTGGTATCGTATTAATATATGAGATCAAGTCGTATTCAGCGAGCTGACTTACAAAAGATTACAAGAGAGAGAGAAATAATATATATATGATATTCCAGAGAGAAATTAACTAATCCCACAAACGGGAGAGGAACCCTCTATTTATAGTGGGTCAGATTGTTGTGTAAATCCTTCCTTGCATCTCGTTGTTCACTTGCTCGAGTGATTTACTCGATTCTTGCAAGGATTGGACACGTGGATCGCCTCCAGCCTTTCACCAGCCTGGCACACACCCACTACACTGGCAGGAGCATGCCGCTTGCGTCAGTGTACGACGTGCTGCGTCTGAATGACTGCAAACTTACCTAAGCTCTGATCGGTTACGCTGACAGGGTTCTGCGTCAGCCCTACTTTTCTAGACATAACAAAAGTGTACTAGAAAATTCTCTTCACCGGATCAAAAAGGGGGCCCGGAATATTGGCAAGTTTCTCCTCGCTATACCAGACAAGGGCCTTGTCTCATTTCATAGGTTAGGGGTCACATAATGAACTGATTACATTATTAGTCTGCTTTGTGGTGTCAACATTTGCCTATTTATGCACCAAATGTCATAATCTATGAACCAATTAATTGGATGGTCCAACCCCCATGAAACTTTTTCTCATAGTAGTTTGTCATTTTAGTGATACAGCGTCGGTGGTTCGGACTAGATTAGTCACCGTTCACCAACCATCACATCTCATAAACCACCATTTCAATAATTTCCCATTATTTCATGACTAGTTCCTGCCTACTCTTAAAGCTACAATGCTTTTCTATCTCAATCTCTTTCCTTTTCAAAATTTTTACCTTATGGCTAATTGTTTAACAAAAAGGATGAGAATTTGTCATCTGGGTATGTCTCATTTCTATGAAAACTACAGGATTTGTGAAGTTCTGATTCCTCTGAGAATTTTCAGATCCTTTATGTCCATTTAAGAAGAGTCAGCTTCAATGTGTTATCAAACCAGAAAATTACAGAGCATGATTTGATATATTTCATCATAGCACAACAATTGGCCGTTAATTTGGTGCTGTTCAACCTGTGAAGTTTTGTAATTAGTTTTGGGGATCTAGAGAGAAAGGTAGATTAAAGGGAAAGAAAAAGGAGATGATTAGCAGGCAAATGCAATCATGCTTAAAAAGAAGTTATAAAAGGTTATATCATAGATGTAATTAAAGTGCAGAAGCTCCCTTAAAAAACCAGAAAAGTTAAAGGAAGAAAAAGAATGAGTAAAGTTGAAGATTCTTTACATTTCTTATTCAATATCAGTTCACCTTTACTGATTTTGAATGTGAAAGAGCTGATACTCAAACCCACCTAACTAAATTATACTGTTTAATGACTATTATAAACTTTTTCAAACATCCTTTCTCAAGCAACGATCACTTGAAGACTCTTAACATCTAATTAAACTCTTCACATAAGTTCTTAATATAAAGAAATATATGTTGCTAATGTATGCATCATTTTTATAATTCAAATAAAATTTCCCACCACACAAATTTATGCATTATTGTACAGGAAAAGGTCAAGAGCAAGAAGCTGGAATAAAAGGGTTTCAATGGATCGCATGATAGAATTTAGAGGAAACAGCCACCTCAATAGATGCCAAATTTAGAGACTTGTTAGGGATAATACAAGGCATTTGACAATTCGCAAAGCTATAATTGTGAGAAAGCATGGTGGAACCCGCGGGCCGCGGCAATAGAGGATTGTTGTGACATAGAGCAAAAAGAGTAGCACCACCGAACCAGCCTGGAAAGGTCCTTTGGACGGTCATCTCATTTCATTTGTCTTGGAATGTGCATATCTTTTTCTTTATTATTATAAATTTACTATCCAGTGTTCACCATTGCCGATGGTAATGGAAATCAAACTTTTGCACAAAGAGTAAACGACCTTTTCCCATACAAATAATGGTTTAATGACCTTATTTTTTTCCCACAAACTTTTAAAATATCATTTTACTATTTAAATTTATATTTTGGTTTTGATTTTGACATCGTTGCGACTCTATACCACCATCATTCTCTTCCCCAATCATCACTCATCAAAACTCCTCAAACCTTACTCTTACAGACCTTGTCAATCGTCGGTAACTAAGCGACTAGGGTTTGCACAGCCGTCTCTCCCAAGTCAAATTTTAATTAATCCTATTCTCCTAAAAATCAATCTTTTATTATCAAAAGACTTATCGGTCTCTTCTCTTCAAAAGTCCTAACAGCTTAAATCGAGTTTATTCTCTGTTTATTATCAAAATATTAATTTAAATAATAAAATTATTAAAAATCTGTAAATAAAAAAGTATCATTAAATCATTACTTGGAGGAAAAAAGTCGTTAACTCTTGCACAAATTATACCAACTTATCCTACCACGAACAGGCCTCATTAACTCCACAACTTAAAGCCCTGCCAGTCAACCAATTCTACAGTAAAAGCTCTTACGTCGGCGAAATTATGCAGCCATAAATTGAAATTTAAAACACTTGCCATGAGGCCATGCTTGACATCTCAGCAGCCCATACTGTCCATTAAGAATTAGCTTATCAACACAACACCCACATGTCAAAACCTTTACTTCACTAAACTATTCATTCAGACTGGAAATAACATGAAACAAACAGCAATTTTACTTACACTGTTCTTCACTCCACTTCAGCTTGTTAATAATAATAAAGGTAAACACCACGTGTAGCTTGCGTCTTCCTTACGTCTATGCTCCTTCCCCGCTAGAAGCTGAAGCTAGAACCACCCACAACTTCATCTTTCCCCACTTGTGAACAAATGAGTCCAAGTCAAGCCCCACAATAATGACTGTAAATTTCTTCAACTTCACTGCTCCTTTTTTTTCTTTCTTTTACAAATTAAACCCTAATTACCCGTTTCATATAGTTGCTGCAATCTGTTAAAGTTAAATTGTCGGTGTGATCTTTTAGAAAATTTTAGGCTCAGTGTCTCTTTTAACTCTTTTAAAAGTATTTCTTAATCCATCAGGTAAAGTATGTATAACATAATCATAATTATAAGAAGAGTCACCAGCAGAGCAGTGTGCAAATCCTCTTTATCAATATCACTACCCATTTGGTCACTTCTCTTCCTCTCTTTCTCAACCAAACACATTCACTCATTTCTCTCTCTTTGTGTGAGCAGCCTTTAAATTTCTTGGTCTCTTAATTTGTAAATCTCCACCAAATTTTGATCTTTGCTCTTGTTCTGCAACTAACTACACTTCACTCATCAAAGGAGTGTCTTTTCCATCTTTCCGAAAATGGGAAGATCTTTTCACAAACTGACACTCTTCCTTTTCTCCCTTTTCTTCATACTACAACGATTGCCAAACTCAACTGCCACTTCTTCTTCATCAAAGTACCAGATCCAATGCACAATGTGTTCATCATGTGACAACCCTTGTCAGCAAACACCTTCACCACCGCCACCATCACCGCCACCACCGTCACAACCGCCACCCTCTTCCAGTACAATCTGTCCACCACCACCATCCCCACCATCTCCAGGCTCTGGTGGCGGTGGTGGTAGCTCCTACTACTCTCCACCACCGCCTTCTCCCTCCTACTCATACGTCTCACCACCCCCGCCCTACAGCGGTGGTGGCGGTGGTGGCGGCGGCGGCCTATATTACCCTCCGCCCAACAACAGGAATTACCCTACACCGCCACCGCCAAACCCAATTGTTCCTTACTTCCCATTTTACTATTATAGCCCTCCTCCTCCTGTCAACTCAGCCTTGTCTCTTCCCCACTCAAACATGTGTTCCTCGTTATGTTACACTGCTGTTGTGTCTCTTGTTTTATTTTTTCTGTTTTAATTGGAAAATGCTAAAGCTACATGTTCAAAGGAAATAATGTGGCAGATTTGCAGATCTGGAGATTGTCAAGGTGAGAGAGCATAAAAGATCAGGTTCTTCATTTGATCAGAAAAAAAAAAAAAAAAAAAGCAAGATACTATTCATGATGATGAAAAAGATGAAGATGGGAGCTTTGAAGGAAAATGCAGTTACTTTAATGCAGAAGGGCAAAAGAGGATCAAGAGTACAAGTGGAGGCTGCATGATAAATGATTAAAGAGTGAAGCGAAGTAATCTCTCTCTTTTTCTCCATCTGTAATTTTGTTTAACAAATTAAATTAAGTTGTACGTACGTCTTTTCATTCCATTATTAGTGTTAATAATAATAATCAAATAACTCATTTTGGTCACATCACTAAGCTCTAGCTAATCACTTGATTTAGTTGGTTGTTAACCAGCATTAAATTTAATTAATTATTTATTTCCTCCGATGATCTGCTTCTTCCGCTCCCATGTGGCTGATGGGCCGCCGCGGGGGTGTTAACGAGCCGAATCGAGCTGAGTTTTTGGCTTAACGTGTTCAGTTTGTGAGAGAAGAAAATTAATCGAGTCGAGTTATAAAATTTGCGACTCGACTCGACTCGAGAAAGAGTTTAAGATATATCGAGTCAACTCACGAGTTGGCTTATCAAGTCGAGTTCGAGTGGACTCTTAAAAATTCAATTTTTTTAGAAAAAAATCAAATTTTTTTAGCTAAGCTCGGTTTGCGAGCCTAACGAACTGAGTCGGGTATGGCTCAAACTCGACTCGTTCTGGCTTACAAATCGAGTCGACTCGTTATATAACGAGTCAAACCATTAACGAGCCAGACTTGAGCCGAGTAGGCTCGGCCCGTTAACCACCCCTAGCCGCCCCTCTTCACATAAATTAATTATACCTTTATTTTTTGTCAATTGTTTTTATATAAATAAATAATAAAAACAGTGTGTATACGTGTACGTTATCTAATTATTGGGGAGCGTGAAGGGAATGAGGATGGTAAAAGATCAAGTACTTCAAGGTTCCCTTTAACTAGATTACTTCAGCCAATCACAAACCTTCACTGCGCCAGAAGAATCTGGAAGCCTGAGTTTGTGGACTGACACCTGTTTCTGATTGGCTATACCTTCAGAATTATTCTCTCCATTCTAGAAACTGTAACAAGAAAATCAAACGTTTCTAAGTTTGTACGTATATTCTTTTGATAATGCTATTAAATTTATACAATAACGTAATAAAATCTTAATTGTTAATTAATATTAATTTATAATTAATTAATAATTAAAATTATATGACTTTATGTATGAGTTTGATGTACTTATTTCGATAACTATATTATTTTTCTATTCTTTTAACCAAGTTAAAATTTATTTAAAGTATTTTTACTAAAAAAACAAAATTAATAAATTTTGTGATGGATATAAAGTCAAATAAAATTGGTGGCGCATTTTTTAATTGGTATAATAAATAAATAAATTAAATATAGGATAATTGAAAATAACAGGGTGGATGATAAAGTGGGGACAAAATATATATTTTTTTTAATATGAGGAAAGGTTTATTTCGTGAGACGTTATGGGGACAAAACAATTAGCTGGAGGGCACGTCCTTCTGTGGGTGGGGGGTCCAGCCCAATACCCCTGTTATTATTTCTTTCCAAATTACGATGGTAAATTTCCAGCCCAAGACAGCAATGCAAAATGTGAGGCTGAGAATGTGATTGAATGGTATGAAAATTTTGAACGTGCAATAAAACATTAAAATGTGGCAAGTAAAGTATCGTACAAAGCACACTCTGTTTGGTGCACTTTTCCAGATACGTTTCACTGTACATTGAATCAATTATGGTGATTTATTAATACATGGATCAACCCATTTGAAGGAGCTTAAATACTCTGAGATATTAGGTAGGTTGGTTCCCTTCAGCCTTAGTCTCACCTGTTCATATCACTTCAGTAACTACTAGACCAACTTCCATTTATGGCATTTGAAATTTGAAAATGAATCAATGATTAAAAGAAAATTATGCTTAAAACCTCTGGTCGAATGACATATCCTTTAGTTACTGGGGTTAGCTATACCCAGAAGGTCATATATTCAAGTCACATAAGAGATATCTACTACATTTATACAATTAGGCTTGTAGAGTGTTCCGTGACACTGAGAATTAGGTAGGCTCCAATGTGCTCTTGGATAGCTCGAATACCTTAAAAAAAAAAAAATATGCTTCAAAGAATTTAGATGATGAAAATTATAAGGTGATTAATGAAGAGGCAATCCCATGGTTGTGGTGGGGCTTTTCTCAATCTTGCCTGGCTTGTCTTGTTGTGAAGAGTTGCAGGGCCCTTATTGGCCCATGCCCACAAGATTGTAAATAGTCCAGGTCCAACGTTCTCCAGAGGCTCTGCTTCTTGTGGGCCATTTGATTTCACAAGCCGAACATGGGAATCACGTTTTGTAACTTATTTTCTTGGACATTTTGGTATAAAGACCGGCTTCGAGGTATCATGGGCTTAATCTCACTTTAATGGGCTGGGCCTACAAGATCGAAGCCCAAAACTATGATAGTGAATCCAACTCAACTCTACTTTTAAGGGTGTGTACTTAATGAAGATAAGATCTTAGATCGAAATGACCAATCATATGAAAAAGGGCGATTGTCCATTATGGTCCCTTTTGGTGAAAAGTTTTGGAAGAGGCAAAGCATGATAAAGGAGTAATAATGAGAGCTTTTGAACCAAAGTGAATCCTCCCATACTTGTATTTAAAGATGTTTGTAGCATTGGAGATAGCTATGAAACTCAATTTAAATCCGTATAAGTAGATCCCGATCAATACAATTGGTATCAGAGTAGGCTTATAACATTACAGTGTGATGTAACGACTTCACGAAGATATAAGGTGAAGAGTTTGCCACATCCTTCGACGAATAAAGCCGAAAACAAATACTATATGCTAGTCAAGCTTTGCGTTTAAGTTTCTTTGTCAATATATGTCGGTGATTTAGGTCAATAATTGAATGTTAAGAGACAAGCTTATTAATTCGGACAAATAAATACACAATTTTGTCTTCACTTAATATCGGGTTTTCTAAATCAAAGATTGTCTTGGAAGTCATATGATTCAAAAAAAAAAAAATCCCTTTCATTTTCAAAAGGTAAACTTGTGTGCTCAATAAAACTTCTATACTTAGCTCGTGTCCCATCAATACTTTTTATGTGAGAATGAGCTCCAAATGTTCTCTAAGAAATTTATGAATAGTTTAAAATTGAAATATCGTCCAATCTCATAATCATTGAATACCTTATAAACCCACCTAATAAATTGAGTAAGTAAAAAATGTAATAGATGGTCACTCTGTTGATAAATCGAATAAAAAATATACATCCACTTAGAAGCCGAACCCAATGGTTTACCATCCGACCATAAAGGAGCTGGTTAATCTACAATATTTAGCCATATAAGTTTTACATAATGTTTACCATTCAGTTGATCTCTTATGGGTAAAGATACCAACTTAATTACTTTTAGATTTTCAAATTTGAACCTAGTTTTTAAAGCTTTGTTATATTTAGAATTTTTTTTTTATTTTTGGTAATCGAGCTATCCGGACTAGTTTGCGTGTATTTTAACTAATATCTGAAATCTATTGAACACCCTATAAATAGTAAGCCACAATGTTATTATAGTAAATGACTCCAAGATTTGAACCTAAGAATACAAAGATGTGAGTAAATTTCCTTGACAGTGAGACTAACCCTTGGTGAGCAGTCTAAACCTTGTTATATCTAGAGTATCAATGAGCCGTCTTCATTAATGAATTGACAAGAAATTACATTAATGCACATGCCTTAGTGATAATGGGAGCTTTTGGATTTTGGTGGGAAAGGACGTAAAGAGTCAACTTTAAAGTTGAATTTTCATATACTCAAAACTTGCCTTTCATGTTTTCCTTTTCCCCCCCTCCCCAACCCCATGCATTTAACTTTAGAATATATTCTAATGGCCCTCCAATTCAAGTATCCAAAGTACTCTCATCTTAACAACAAAACCATTTAAAACACCATCAAATTTCATTACATTTTTCAATTGAAACTCCTCATCATCCCTCTTACCTAACTACTTCATTACAAAATTTATTAATTATCAAACATATTATTATTATTATTATTATTGTGTTAGAATTTTGTCCCTTTATTTTATATACACATTTTTATTGCAATACCCTTTATTCCAAATTTTCCACCTTTTTTTATTTATTAAATAAACCCTATAATTGTTTTTTTTGAATTGAAAATGGGAATTTATTTTTGGATGAGAATTGTGAATTGTCCACCAGACAATCATATAAATAGCAAAGAGAAATGAAATAATAGTGATATTAAATCAATTACTATGTTAGGAAAAATGAAATCAATCTCCATTTCTTACACTTTTTCTACCAACTTCCAAAATACAGTTAGTTAAAAACCCAAAAACAAAAAAAAAAAAAACCCTAAACAAAAATTATCACAGGATAATTTGGTCATGTGACATACTTGGATCCTAACATTAATATTAATAATAATTAATTATTATTAATAATACTAAATTATTAAGCATAAACAGAGCCATAAGATAGAGCCATTAATAACACAGCCGCTTGTTCTTCTTCTCCCAACTTCTTTCGTTGCTTCTCAACCGTTGATCTTTGCATCAAAACTTCTCTTCCCAATGCGTACAATCTCTGTTTCAAACTCTCTCCGAGTTGCTGCTTGTTATTGTTGTTGCCCTTTTTGGTCGTCTTTTTGTCTTCTTTTGTTATTCCCAAAACTGCCCTTCTCTTCTTCCTGCTTCTGATCCCACATGCGTTACAAAGTGACTGCAAAACCAGACATTATCCACACCATTAATCTCAGATCAAACGTGGACTGATTAAAATCAAGCTTTGAGTTTGATTAAATCAGTGTATATTTTTACCTTGGGCCCGGCTGGCCCGCCTCTCCATAGAGGCGTCTTCGAGGTCCCACAATCGGCACAGGTCTTCTTGCTCTCGTTCGCTTGATTACTTTCTTCTGATGAAATCTTTCTGTTCACATCATCACACTCTGATCCCTGCATTCAAAAACCCGCAACACAAAGCGATCAGCTATGATTCGAATGACTGATTCAAAACTCAAAAGTGAAGATACAAAGATAGAAATAAATGATCACTCACTTTCTCACTCGGATCCAACATTTTTGCCACCCTGTTTAAAAGATCCAACACAGACCCGGAAGGTAAAACTCGAAAACGCACGTGGGAATTGAACCAGAACCAAATCTTGATTCACTTGAGCTAAAGAAAAAAAAAAAACAACTGGAGGTGGTAGTGACACTCAACAAAAGCTTAATGATTAACGAGAAATAGAAGAGATCTAGCTAATGATTTGCTAAGAGGGAATGATTGAAATGAAGTGGGAATAATTTGAGGGGTTAACGAGAGTGAATAGTGCGGGACTGAGAGAAAGAGAGAGAGAGAGAGAGAGAGAGAAAACGAAATGAAGAATTGAACCGACACACGCAGAGACCAGACCGCACGAAGGCAGATCTGAAAAACCACTGGTTTATATATGGGACGCGAAACCCTAGCTTTGAGGTAGTGAAATGACGAAATGCCCCTCTTCACTTTAAAACTTTTTCATAAAATAGAGTCGAGTCGCCCGCCTATAGCCCAAAACGCACAGCAATTGTAACCCGCCAAAACCCAAAACCCCCTAAGAAAAATAAAAAAACAAACCGCTCTGAAAATCTACAAAAAATGGCGCCATTTTAATGGGTTTTGTTTTGCCTCCTAATTTCACTTTTTTATTCTTTTTTAAATAGTAATAAATAAGTCTTGATGAGATGCTGATGTTTGCAGTATGGACCGTCTGATAAGTCAACTAAGGTTGGACCTACCCTTCATGATATTGGAGGAAGTCTAAAATGAAAATGTCTCTCACAAATTTAGTGATGAGGTTGAGAAGGGTGAAAATAGGGGGCAAAAGAAAAAAGTCAAAATGGGTTTCATTTAATTTTTACATTAAATTAAGACCAAGATATATTTATTGTCTTATTTAACCTTAATTTTTTAGCTGACAATTAATTGAACATAACACGGCTGGGGTGGCTGTCCAAACAAAACAAAATCTGAGTTATGAGCCGAGGTTGGTTACTTATTTAATTAGACTAATTAATCAAGTCAAAAGGAGTGGCATTTGGTTCACCAAGTAGCTGAATTAAAATCCACACCTAAAAGATGATGGTTTTATGATCCTAATCTCATTATCAAACTCTAAATAACCAGTTTAAAAGGAGAAGTAGTTCGAACCTAAAAAATGTTTAATATTTTAGAATAATTCATAAATATGATAAATGATCATAAAATGATTTGAACCTAAAAAATTAATAAAGGTAATAAATCTTTTTAATCGTCAGATAAATCGCTCGGAGTTACCACATATTTGATACATCTATCATATAATGTTTATGTTAATGAACAGCATTTTAAACTCATTAATTAAGCTTGCCTTAATGTCTTCATGTAGAGGGAAGTACAGGGACACGCATATGGTATCAATATTTGAAAGAAGGTTGATAGTCAGAAGATGTCAAAAAAACGTTTTTCAAAGTGGCGCTTTCAGGAGGGGTTTTGTATAAACCCAACATGTTCGTTAAAACCGATGCTTTAGTTTATTAAGGATTTGAAGAACAACAGCTGTATTTAGTCTAAAAAAAGTCTGGTCATCTTCTTATCTTCCAACCATAGATTAAATTAAGAAATGATGGTGAATAAAGAAATGGTATGAGGTTTGGCCTTTTGTTACTGTCCAGTTAGGTTCCCATCAATAGAAGCAGTTTTCTGACTCGGGCTCCAAGTAGTGGCGATTGGACAAATGCCATTATAAAATAAAAATAAACTACAGTAATTAATTAATAAGGAATAAAGAAATGTACATGGTTCCCATAAATTGACTAATATTTTTCTCAGTCAAAATTTATGGTCTTGTTAACTTTAGGGATTTAGATCCATCTCTCACCAAAACAGATTGCAGCAGCCAGCCACTACTGTTGTCATAAATTTAAAAATTAAATGGAAGTGACGACAAATGACAAGCCAATCTGTAATATACTGTTTATTAACGTTTTACTTTTGGCCCCATTTTTTTTTTTTTTTTTTTTTCAAGGGTCAAGATTCAACTCAATCTTATGATCTTTTCTTACAATCTTAGTAACAGTAAATTGATATATCATATCAACTCCTAAAACACTAAGACACTACTAGAAATAAATAGTTGTTCCTTCATAAGAAGCGATCATTCTTTTTCATAAAAAACGACTGGTCCTTATGAAGGAACTGTAAGACATTTATCTGTAATCTAAACAAGAATACAAATAATAAATTTTTTAAATTATAAACCAGGAATCAAGAATTACCTCCAGCCATTGAAACAAACTCACGAGCAGTATTTTGGATCTCTAAGCTCTTAAGACACTCTATTGATGGTGTATTTTTCTGTATATTCGAGTTCTTGAGCTTAGGGACCAAAATAATATACATAGCCAAGCTTCCATCAAGCATAATGGCATGCTTAATGGCGCCATAAACCCAAACGCTTGGAAACTGAAGCATTTGAAAACTGAACAAATAACGTGGACCATCAACTTTAAAACTGATGAAAATCAAAACGTATTACGTTAAGTTTTACCTTCTCCCACTCGGTCCACATTTTTAACCATTATTCATTAAGAAACAAATACACGAATCATGGCGACAGTCCTCAAAATAAAATGAGTATTATCTTCCATGTATTATAATGCATTTGATTTCTCAAGTTTTTATTATGACAACCTACTTAATGATAAAACCTATGTTTATTCTTGGTCCTACAGATGAATTTTCTCAAATGAAATTAATGTGCACATGAATATGAGAAAACATCACAGTAAATAAGAGTTTTATTCAAACATTTATATACAACTACATAGTGGAATGAAGTCCCATTCTTCTACATGATCCTTGATTTCAATGGTGGCATGCCTTTGGTCAAAGGATCAGCGATCATCAATCAGTATTATGTGCTCAATGACCACTTTTTTTCCTTAATACGCTCTTATTTGGCAAGTACTTAATGTCAATGTGTTTACTTTGACTTCCACTTTTATTGTTCTTAGCCATAAAGACAGCAGCTGAATTATCGCAGTATATTCTCAATGGTTTAAACGGAATCCATAATTTTAAGTCCAGCTATGGAACCTTTAACCATACACCATGTGAAGTACTCAAAACAAGAAACGAACTCAGCTTCCATAGTGAAAGTAGCAGTAAGGACTGCTTTACACTTCTCCAAGATACAGCTCCACCAGCCATTATGAAAACATATCCTGATGTTGATTTGCGTGAATCAACACAGCCAGCAAAGTCTGAATCTGAATAACCGATTACTTCCAGATTGTCGTCTGTCTATACATAAGCATGTAGTTTTTGGTCCTTGAAGGTACCTCATCACTTTCTTTGTAGCTCTCCAGTGGTCTAAACCTGGATTACTTTGATATCGTTCCAACATTCCAACAATAATGCAATGTCAGGCCTTATACAGACCGAGCATACATCAGGCTTCCGACAGCAGAAGCATATGGAATGTTTCATTTGTTCCCTTTCAAAAGCGTTTTTGGGCATGGTTCAAATTAACTTATCGCCCTTCACAATGGGAGCCACACTTGGTGAACAATCTTTCATTCGAAATCTCTCTAAAACCTTATTGATATAGGTTTCTTAAGATAGACCAAAATACCTCGAAATCTGTTTCTATGGATCTTAATGCCAATGACATAAGATGCATCACCCATATCCTTCATCAAAATCTTAGAGAGGAATTGTTTCACCTCATGCAGCAAACCCTTATCATTGGTTGCAAGCAAAATATCATCTACATATAAAATAAGAAAGCATATATTACTCCCACTAACCTTCTGGTATATACATTGATCATTGGGTTTTCACAAAAAACGAATGAAGTAATTACCCCATGGAATTTAAAATACCATTGGCGGGAGCTTGTTTTAGACCGTATATAGATTTCTTGAGCTTACAAACCAAGTGCTCACCATCACTAGAGGAAAATCCTTCAGGTTGTTTTATATAAACCTTCTCCTCTAAGTCTCCATTGAGAAGCCATTTTCACATCCATTTGTTGCAACTCTAAGTCAAAATGGGCTACTAATGCCAAAATCACACACAAAGAATCTTTCTTAGATACAGGAGAGAAAGTCTCCGTGTAATCGATTCCTCTTTCTGAGTGAATCCCTTAGCAACGAGTCTTACCTTATATCTTTCAATGTTGCCCAATGAGTCCTTCTTGTCTTAAAGACCCATTTACATCCAATGGCTTTTACACCATTAGGCAACTCAACAAGATCCCAAACTTCGTTACTCTTCATAGAATTCATCTCTTCTTCATGGCATGTACCATAATTCTGATTCTTTGCAACTCATGGCTTGTGAAAAGAACTCGGGATCATTTTTTGCTCCAATGTTATAGTCAGATTCTTGCAGATACACAATATAATCATTGGAATTGCTGATCTCCTTGGTAGTAGATCTTCTTAATGTTGTACCGTCATATTCGGAGAAGTATGTGGTTCAACTCGTTGTTCAAAAGTTCTTGGCAACTCTTGAACTAACTGATCTACGGAATGTTGTTAGCAGCTTGTGGAACTTCAATGATTGGTTGTCAACACCAGTTTGTACTTGGGGGTGCTATAAACAATGACCAATTTATCAATGAGGTGGAAGGTTGAGATTCTGAATGATCATTCTCAGAAACTATGTTCCTGGTTTGATCGCTCCCAACTGATCAAGTCATTTTCAAGAAACTTGCATTTCTTGATTCCCCAATCCTAGTGCTGTGAGAGGACAATAAAATCTGTAACATTTAGACCTTTCAGCATATCCAATGAAATACCAGTAATGGTCCTTGGGTCCAGCTTTTTCTCCTGTGGATTATAAATTCTCACCTCGAAGGGCATCCCCAAACATGCAATGTCGCAAACCGGTTTCCAACCTTTCCATAATTAAATGGTGTTTTAGGAACAGCTTGGTTGGAACTCGGTTCAATATATACACTGCTGTCTTAAGTCCTTCAGCCCACAAGGATTTAGGAAGATTGGAGCTGCTAAGCATACTCCACACCATGTCCAACAATGTTCGATTTCTTCTTTCTGCTACACCATTCTGGTCGGTGAACCAGGCATGGTGTATTGGGCAACAATCATGATCTTGAAGAAACTTTGCAAATGGTCCAGGTGTTGTCCATCCTCTGTGTATCTACCACAATATTCTCCACCTCTATCTGATCTTAGATCTTAATTTGCTTACCACATTGTTTCTCTACTTCAGCTTAAAGATTTTAAAGGCATCTAATGCTTCGTACTTGTTATGAAGCATGTAGAGATGCATACGTGAGTAATCATCTATAAAAGAGATGAAGTATTCTTGATCATGTGAGCATGTCTGGACTACATATATCAGTATGTTGATCTCTAATATGTCCGAATTCTATTGGCACCTTTCTTTGACTGTTGGTCTACTTTCCCTTTATGCAGTCACACAAGTCTCAAAATCAGTAAAATCCAGAGTATTAAGTACTCCTTCATTTACTAATCTTTTAATTCTTACTATGGAGATAGTCCTAATCTCCGGTGCCATAATTTAGAGGAGTCCTCAATAACACATCTTTTAGTGCCAATGTGAACATGCATTGAATCATAAGTGGCATTGTTTTGTAAATTTATGCAGTAAAGACCATCAGACAAAGTACCATTCCCAACAAAATCAGATTTATAAAATAATTTGAAGGATGAATCTGAAAAATTAAAGGAATATTCAAAGGGTACAAGCCTTGAATGAAATCAGTTTCTAGAAAAACTTGGAACATAAAAGGTCTTTTCTAACATAAAACAAAGCTACTACTTAAAATTAAATAGCAAGTTCCTACAGCTTCCACATGCGAGCCCATCTTGTTTCCTGATAAGATGCTTTGCTCACTTCTCATGGCTTCCTTAGGTTTTGCAAACCCTGCAAGGAATTTGAAATGTGGATTGTTGATCCAGATCATCCACCATGTGTTAATATTGACATTAACCATATTAGATTTATACAAACAATGAGGTTGGATTACTTGTTCGCAAGCCATTTCTGAAATTTGGTACATTCCTTCTTCATGTGTCCCTTTTTTTACAGAAGAAACACTTGGTCTTTCTGATACACTTTGGGGAGGCATTTTACCTTTCACTTTCTTATGGCTTGATGTTTCCCTTTCATGCGTTGCAACATTGCACTTTCTCCATTTTCCATCACCAGTCTCCCTTCCTCTTGACACACATGGTCTAAGTTCATTTATTGACCATTTATCCTTATGTGTGTTGTATGAGATTTTGAAGGGTCCATATTGATGCGGAAGGTGTTCAAGATGTAGTGCACCAGGAAGGAATCCGACATTCAACCTCGAGATTCTTCAATTGAGCCACAATATCCCTCATTTGCGATGTGTCGCGCACACCTCTCACACCGGTGAGCTTAGGGATGAGAGCTTATGATCAGGGTGCTTGCTTATGCCTTGTCTGAAGTGACAAATTGATCATCAAGGCTTTTAGCAAGTCTTTGACCTTTTACTGATCAACAGAACCACGGATACTAGCAGAGATTCTAGTCTTAATGAAAATCACGCGAGACGATTAGATCGCTCCCATCGTTCAAAGCGTGATGTCGCGTAGTACTAGTATACGTGAGTGCTGGGGGTTCGTCTTTCTAATAGCATAGTCTATGGCCATTCACCCCAAATTAGAAAGAACTCTCTCCTTCCAGACCTTATAGTTATCTCCTTAAGTTCAGGGATATCAAAACGAATATCAGAGAATTTACAGGTTGTACGACTGCATAAAATTTAGAATCATGCTTATGTTAAAACTGAGGCCTAAACAAAATATCATACTTACCAATGTAAATTATGCTTAAAAAATTGAATCTAATTACATAAAATTGCCTGTGGGCTAAATTTCTAATTCAAGCAGATCTTTATTCTTATGATAAACTTTATGATAAAACTATCAAATTATTTACTAAATTCATAATTCCTGTGGATAAATTATGATAACTTGATATTTATCATAATTAATAATATAAAATAATAAAAATTCCTGGGGAAAAAATTATTATATAAGTATAATTAATTACAATTAATGTTAATATTCTTTATGTGATCCTAATATCATAATATATAATTTTATTTAATTAAAGATGCTGTGGCTATTCTCTAATTAATTAAAATTATATGGATCACTAGACATTAAATCTCATAAAAACTAGCTTAATATTACGAATTACATATCAAATACTAATATGTTATTATTTGCACAAATATTCTCATAAGCAAAAATATGCATAATGAAAACTATAATATTATGCAACATTTAATTTATGTCTTATCATATATACTCATTCAAAAATTGCAAGTAGAAAGATATAATCAATTCATGAAAGATAAATATGAGCATAATTAATTTAGGATTCTGCACAATAACTTATCCAAAAAATTCATAATTAAACCAAAATTAATATAATAGGAATAATTTAATGAGCAAAATTAGAAATAGTATAAATTCTATTTTATGAATGTCATGATAGAAATGTAAAGTGGCCTGTTGCCCAATAGCAGATATCTTTACATGAGATCACGGGTTCAAGTCCCAAAGGCCAGATCTACACATTTTTTTTTTTTTAAATTGACAAGAAAACGACATGTCGGTTTCAAATCTGAAGGAAAAATGACATGTCATCTCTAGTCGTCTTCAACCTTTGAATGGATCTGTAATTGGATACCCGACCCGAAAACAACCCAATAGCCAAACCCGGGTGGAAATTCACTATTTAAACTCCAAAATAATTGTTTCAAACACCAGAAATGATATAAATCCAATTTCCTAATAATTTATAACATTTATTTTCATTGAAAAACAACTAAAAAACAAACTTTGATTTAAAAAATATTTCAAAACGGCCATGAACAGAGAGCTTTAAAAAATTCTTTTGCAAAACATCAAGGCAGAGGTATTATATGGCTCTGATACCAACTGTAAGACATTTATCTGTAATCTAAACAGGAATACAAATAATATAATATTCTTAAACTATAAACCAGGAATCAAGAATTACCTCCAGCCATTGAAACAAACTCACGAGCAGTATTTTGGATCTTCTAAGCTCTCAAGACACTCTATTGATGGTGTATTTTTCTGTATATTCGAGTTCTTAAGCTTAGGGACCAAAATAATATACATAGCCAAGCTTCCATCAAGCTCATAATGACATGCTTAATGGCTGCCATAAATCCCAAACGCTTGGAAACTGAAGCATTTGAAAACTGAACAAAGAACGTGGACCATCAATTTTAAAACTGATGAAAATCAAAACGTATTTACGTTAAGTGTTAAGTTTTACAGGAACAATAAAAAGAATGATTGTTCCTTGAAAAACAACAATTCCTTAAGAAAGGAATGACTATGACTATTCCTTCATAAGGAATAATCATTTCCTCCGTGAGGACAGATGACCCTTTTTTATCTAGTTAAAATCATTTTATGCCTTTAATATGGTGAAGCTGACGTGATAATACTGACTCAACTGCTATATTGGAGTTGCGAGAAAAGTTTATAAGAATAGGTTGTAGATATAACATTATTATAATTATTTTTAATAATTAGAATGTTGGAATCAACTTATTCATGACTCAATTAATCTTCAAGACACTAAAAAATAACACTTTTTACAACTTGAACACAAGATTTATGAATAAGCAAAGCTTGCCATCAGACCCGCAAACCAAGCGAGTAAAAAGCTGGTTCGACTCAAGTCAATCCCCCCATCTTTTCCATTGACGTCACATACAATTGAGTTTGTGAGTGTTCAACCAACTTTTACGTGCGCCAAATAATAGCCATTTCTTACTGACAGGTTTTAGTATGAGCCAGCCGTGCTTTCGCATTTTGCCATGCAGAAGCAGCCAACGGGGCACTGTTGTTGTACCCATATAACGCTAAAGTTACAGCTTACTTGATGTTACAGATAAGGTTATATCATTTATTACACCAAAATAAATTTTAGTATTTTACACACGAAAGACTATTAATTATGCTACATAATTGTGTTGACAACCAGTTGGCCTTGACTTGAACGCGCATGCATCAATTAAACATTCCTTATGGGTTTTGCCTCACAAAATTCTTTTCATTGTCTAGATAGCTAAGCTAGTAATGTCGCAAATTTAAAACTCCACACATTAGCTTAACTTGTGTACCATTACAGAATCTTTTGAGTAGATATAACCTAGAAATATTAATCGATGAATAATACTAAAGTTATCGAAAAGTGTACACCAAATAACGTAACAAAATCCTAACCATTAATTCATTCTAAATTAATATTAATCAACGATCAAGGTTTTGTTACGTCATTCGATGCACAAATTCGGTACACACCCTTTAATAACTCTATCATTTTCCTTAACCGATTGGCCCAAAAATAAACAAATTATCAGCCCAATAATCTTCAGCGCCTGCATTTTTACAAACCAACAGTAATTTCTCAAATAATCATAGCTCAGAGAGAGAAATAGTTAAAAGAACACGAGAATCACACTATTGACAAAATACTTGCCAGTTTCTTGCAATACACCAAAATAAGAGGGTTTTTTTGGGTTAACTTTATATATACTCACCCACCAGTAAGAAAAACAAATGCCGAATCATAGAATCTACTATTACAACCAAGGACAAATTGAAGACTCAAACACTGCCCCGACTACTACAACCCCTTCAAGGACGTCCCTGCCTGCACATCAACATATATCTCTAATACAACTCATTCTGATAGCTTTCCAGGGCTAAAAATTCAGACGTCCTCATGCTGTAATTAAACCCAACCGGCCTCACTTTATTGGACACTGCAGTATAGACTGACCTCCGTTGGCAACTCTTCAACCACAATAGACACTGGACCAACCTGTAACCATACATGTACAGGTGCCCTGACCTGACCAGACCCAACTTGAACCTGACATATACCTTGTCAACCCCAGCATGAACTTCTGTTCCATTCGACAAACTACATATCCCTGTAATTTGTAAATCAACTCAACAAGAACTAACTTCTATTTTTTGAAGGAGAAATAACAGGAGGTCAATTGCTTCNTAAGACCAAGATATATTTATTGTCTTATTTAACCTTAATTTTTTAGCTGACAATTAATTGAACATAACACGGCTGGGGTGGCTGTCCAAACAAAAAAAAAAAAAATCTGAGTTATGAGCCGAGGTTAGTTCCTTAATTAATAAAGTCAAAAGGAGTAGCATTTGGTTCACCAAGTACCTGAATCAAAAGCCACACCTAAAAGATGATCCTAATCTCATTACCAAATCTAAATGACCAGTTTAAGAGGAGAGGAGGTTCCATGCATGAGCCTGCCATTTAGGGGTGCAGAGATCATATCTATAATATGTAACAATATAAGAACCAAGAAAATTAATGAAGTCGATAAAAGAAACAAAAATCCCCCGGATATTAGTTGAAAGTGAGTGAAAATGAGAGCTCATGAGCCCACTTTGATTTTCCATTACTCAAAACCAGGCAATACTGCTACAACAAAACACAAGGACCACATTTTTGAATTTTTTTTTTTTTTTTAAATGATTGGGGTGTTTTGACCTGTTTATGCGTATCTTAATTAATCTTTGAGACCTATTAAAACCCATACAAGTTAGGAGTGTTCAATTCTGAGTACTCTGTATTTTTTGAAAGAACTAGAACTGACGATTCCTTGAAATTTGGAACTAGAACCAGAACGGACGGTTCCGGTTCCTAGGTACCCCGAACCGAAATTTGTAACAATAGTTCCAGTTCCAGTTCCAGTTCTGGGTACCCTATAAAATTTNACCTGACCAGACCCAACTTGAACCTGACATATACCTTGTCAACCCCAGCATGAACTTCTGTTCCATTCGACAAACTACATATCCCTGTAATTTGTAAATCAACTCAACAAGAAGTAACTTCTATATTTTGAAGGAGAAATAACAGGAGGTCAATTGCTTCTCAAAATTAAACATTCAAGGGCATAAATCTAGCTTACCCTCCTTCCTGCATGTGAAGTAAACTGCGATATGCAACTTCAGTTGAAGTTGAATCCACCAGATGGAACTGGAAGCTCATTCCCTCCAAATTGGAAACCTGACTGAGCACCATCAGCTGGAGGTAATGCCTCATCCTCCTCTTCCAACCAGAAAGTTTCAAGAATCTTAACTGCCTTTTCATAGATCTCATTATTGTCATGACTTTGTAGATTTTCAATCTTTTCTAAACCCTCAGCCTCCTCAACTAATTGGGCATAGTAATTGACATCTCCAGTGTTACCCATACTCTTCTCAGCTTCCCCAACCTTCAAAATGTTCTCTAACCCTTCTAGACAAACAGTGACAATTCGTGGATCAGGGCATGCAAAGAGATCGCAGAGTGGTTTTATACATCCCTGAGCCACCAGGTACCTAAAATGCATAAAAAAAAGGAGTTTAAAACTGATTTTATAACACAAAAAAGGGCGACACAATGATAAAAAAGAAAGTTTATAAAAAAAAAAAGGAAGAAACAACATACTTGATCTGATCATGAGTACCGCCAGAGGTAGCATTTGAAATCGCCCAAGCAGCCTCTTTCTTTATCTCAAACTCAGCATTTTGAAGTAGATTGACAAGGGGGCCAATTAAACCGGCATCAATTACAGCCTGGATCATTTTAAAATTTAGATCAATCATGAAGTGAATTTTCTTCTCAGAACCAGAAGTATTAACTTTTCCACTAACAAGTCAGTTAAAAAGCCTATTTATTTTTGCACACATAGTATAATCCTTTAGAATTACACCTCTATCTGGTAAGATGCATGATTTATCACATCATAGAAATCCCAAGAAATTTTTCTCACGTAACACAGCCTCAAATCCCTCCTTCAAAACAATATATGTCTGTCAAACTAGCCATAAAGAAATCAACCATCCATCTTGATATTAACTTATTGTATGCAATAGATTCATTCCCAACATACTTGAAACTCAAACGTACGGAAAGTTCAACATAAAAAACTCTGGTTATTCCATTGAAGAATACATTGAGTTGTGCATAACAATCACCAGGACATTACAAGAATTAAAAAAATCACACAATTTAAAAACACCCAAACCCTCACCTGAATTTGTTCCCTGTTTCCAGCTGTAATGTTTGAGATAGTCCAGCAAGCTTCTTTCTTGATGCTCTTTTTATGATTATGGGTCAACAGGCTCAAAAGGCATGGCAAAGCACCATGGTGAATTATACACTAAAGCAACGAAAAATCCATCAAAATCAATAAAACAACATAAGATATTGAAAATTAAGATCTGATGCCATCACAGCAGGCATGTTATTATAAAAATTTAACAAGTATATGCATGAGAAAAAGAGCTTATGACAAGATTGTAAAGCAATTTTTCTCCTGCATCTCAAATGAGCAATTCTGAAATTGAATAGGATTGAATAAAATTTCAGTTAGTCATTTTACATCATTGTTATACTTAGCGACGTGACTTTTTGGTTTTCTTAGGCTTATTATATTTCTTTTCATTCAGTTCAAAGCAAACTATTCATGGTTAGATTTGTCCACCACTTTGGACCAATGGCAGCAGGTGTACAAAGTTACACTAGAATCACAGCAGGAGAGCACATATTAACCCCTAAAAAGTGTTCATGTACTCCTTTTAGCCTGGTTGCAAGAATATAAGTATGGATGCTAAGATAGAACATTTACATGTTCACAAGCTCAAATCTCTCAATTTTTCTCACTCTATGCAGAAGCACACGTGGGAAAAAAGGAGCTCCAAGAAAGGCTTGTTAAAGGTAACAGCTTAAATAAATTACATTTTTAGAAATAGATGATAAATTAGAATTTCTAAAACAAAAATTCGATACACATATTTAAGGGAAAAAAAAAAAAAAATAGTTACATTGAAGCCAGGTTACCAACTTTCAAGAGTACTCTTCCTTAAAAGAAAATTATCTTTATCACTGAGCTCTTTAAATTGTTGAACCATGTACTTCTAAGCATCTTATGCTTTACAATAAATTACATCTAAAATGATATGTTGATATTCTTCATGTACAAACATGGGCTCCCAAAAAGGTATCAATTAAAGCACATATGACAAAACATATTATATGGACTTACAAATGAAATAGTTCTGAATGGTTTACAGAGAATTTCTTTTAAACGTTAAAATACCAGCAAACTCAGAATCAATAGTACTTGACAAACTCATACCTGTGTCTGCATATCGTCTCCAGTGACAATATTTCCCACTGTCCGCAGGGCAGGAATGAGCACTGAGGGAGATGGATGACTGAAACATGTGTTTTACATTATCAAGTTTATGTCAAAATAATGGAAACAAGAGAATCAATCAAATACAATAAATAAATGTGTCACACTCACAGGAGGAGCTCAACGAGTCGTGGGCAAACACCTGCCTCGATCACAGCTTGAATTTTATCATTTGTACCATCAGAAAGATAGGAGAGCGCCCAGCAGGCATCAGTCAAGACTTCTTCATCACTTGAATGAACAAGCTGTGCAAGTGCCGGAAGAGCAGGCTTCACCTGTTCAACAAATTTCAAAAAAATAAAAATAAAAATAAAAAAACATTAGATTGGTTTTCAAGAAAAATTGATTGAATAAAAAATAATGCACCTACGACAAAGCAACCTGATCAAATGGCGGCTGTGGTTTGCCCCTACAGAAGTTTGATAGCGTCCACGTGGCATTTCTTAGCATTGACAGCTTTGCATTCTCATTCAATTGTGCCAGCAATGGCATCAAAGCTCCTTGGCTAAGCACAAGATCACGGCACCTAGGTGAATCACCAGCAACATTTCCAAGTGCCCAAACAGCCTACAGAATCATTAAGAAAAAAAAAAAGCCATCAATACAACACCTCCAATTCCACCCAACTCCAATACCAGCAAACTTTCACAAGCAAAATATATAGCACTCTCATATATACCTGTTCACGAACATCATCGCTTGGAGAAGCAAGTAGCTTCACAAATATAGGAACAGCACCATGGTCAATCACCACCTTAGTATTCTCCGATGTTCCAGAAGCAATGTTCGTAAGAGCCCAAGCAGCCTCAAACTACAAAAAATTCAACATATCAATACACATTAATCCTTCTAGGCAAAAACTAACCTCTAACACCCTAGGCCAAAAATAACCCATTGTTTGTACAAAACTCCGACCTGAAGTTGCGGGAAATCCTCTCTCATAAGAAACTCAACAAAGCGCGGAACCACCCCAGATTGTATCACTTCCTCAATTGGAGGACTCCTCTCTATGAATAATAAGTTCCAAACATATATTATCATGACAAATAATTAACCAATAAACAACTAAAAAACACGAAGCTTTAACAAGTTAAATTAATACCAATGGAAAGCAGTTTCCGAAATTGAGTAGTTGCTTCGAGCTGCAGGCCGTTATCGTTAGACCAAACCCCAGCCACCATCGAAGGCAGACTTTCCAACTACAATTCAATCAATCAACAAATAAAAACTTTCCAAATTTGCAATTGAAACCCTAATTTAACCGAAAAATGTCGAAATGACAACTCTTAATCATACCTTGTTTTGGAGGTTGAGATTGGGAAGAGGAGCAGCCGTTGCTTGAAGCCCTTCACGGCGCTTCTTAAGCAAGCTTTCTTCACGCTTGCTTTTACGGATCTCCACCATGTTGTCTTCTCTTCTTCGTCTACCTTCATCGGCGTCCACGGCAACCTTGTAACGGTTCCGGCGAACCTCAGTTCTGGCGCTCGGTCTAAGCGACATCGTTCTTCGGTAAAACTTGCGAGTTTTGAAAAACCCTAACAGGTAATTAAAGGAAAAAAAAAAGCTAGGGATTTGGAGTGACTGTGAAGGCGTTTAGAGAGGGAAAAAGAGAGAGTTATTTATACAGGGAAGGATTGAATTGTCAGAGAAAGTGCTTTTATAATTCTTAATTTTTCTTAATTTAAAAATTAAGTTTCTACTTTAACCATAATTACTTCTAATTAAGTAAATTCTTTTCTATTTTAGTTTTAATTTCATAAATATTAATTGGGAAAATATCAACAATCTGTGTTATTACTTAAATTAAATAAAATTCTCACTTTTTTCACATATTCAATTTGGGTCATTAAAATTTCAATAAAGTCCCTTAATTATTTTCATTTAATTACTATAAATTTTAACCATCCTCATGTGGTTGGATGGGGTGATATTGGCTCTCAATTCCTCTCAGTTATTAATAAGAGAGACCATTGAAGAGTGGGTTTATCGGTCGTTAACTTCAAAATCCTAAAAGATTATTCAAAGTGTGTGTAAATTAGTCCGGATATCTCCACCATAAAAAAGAAAAATCTCTTTATTTTTATCAAGATATATTAAAAAAAAAGACTGTTCATTTGTAATTGGGCCATCAGCATCTAGGGCCCAGAGCTTACAGGATCTTTCTAACAGAATATAACTAATTGCAGTTCATCTCAGACGTAGATTGAGTTAGTTTGTGTTGCGAACTAAATTGGGTGTGTGAATAATAATAAGGGAATAAATAGTTACAAATAACTAAATCATGAAATAATTAAAAAAAAATTAATTGTTATCTTAATTTATAAAAAATAAATAAATCTAAAGAATACTGAATTAAATTTATGCACAGAACAGTTTGATTAATGTGTACATTTTGTTTCTTTCTCTATTTTATTTGCATAAAAATGGAGCCCAATGAATTTCTTTGGTGCTATACACATTACACTATATTTGAGTGCTTGTTAAAAGCTGAAGAAAATGCCGAAGAGGGCTCCTGGCGGTGTTCAAGTTGGGGGTCTCTGCGTACTGGATTCTCTCTTGCAATGGTGGTAAGGGGGGGTGATCGTGGTGGAGAAACAAAGAGTGCAGAGACCTCGAGAACCTCTCGCCGCACGTTTTCGTGTTGTTCGGATACTTTCTGTGCGCGCAATGCTGTCAAGTATAGACCGGCTGCAAGGAAGACTGTCATTAACGCAAAAATTCCAGCCGCAGAAAACAAGCCTTCTTTGATTATTAGACAACTTGGTCTTGGTCTGGACCAGTTCTTCAAATGGCCTGACTCTATACTTAGCCCAATTAACAACAGAATCTCCGCAACCGCAAAACAAATCCTGATGAAATTAACCAAACAAACTCAAATTTAGTGTTTGATTTGGAGATCCTGATATGTTCTGAAACCAATATTAAAAAAAAACAAAACAAAATTATACCAAGTTGTAACAAAGAAAAAGCCTGCTTGCCATGTCAAACTCTTGACTGGAGAAACATCAGGATCCCAAGAGACCAAAGCCAGAGGCGGCGATTTGCTAACTGCGATCAACATGAACATATGTTCCACCACCATGGCCACTGCTAATCCAACAAATGCAATTGCAGCGCACAACAATGGCGTCTTCCCGCTGCCACTGTACACACATTCATTTTCTTTGCCTTCACTCTCCGTCTTCTCCCATGTCATCTGCAATAATACAAATAAATTTTGTAATTCAGTTCATGTAACTTTCATGCTACAAAGATGAGACAAATAGGTAAAGATTTTCACCTGGGAACGAGTGGCTTCGGCTATGAGACAAAGAATAAAGCAACATAAGCCAGAGAGAATGGTCAAGACTATGAGAAAAACAGCAGTTTTGCTACTCAATTCTGTGCCAGGAGGACTCGGCGCAAGATCAGCATGTGTAACAGCTCTACTTTTGGGCATTTTTCGAGTGCAAAAGAGATAAAATTCATATGCAAGCTCAACAGGAAGATGACAATATGGGGAAGGTTAAAGTTTTTCAGCATTAAAAAGAGAGCAAAAGAATTGTAGAATCGCTTGGAGCAAAGGTTGCTTAAAGGCCAAAGATTCCCAGGTTCTGGTCTTTACTCTTAAGTATTCACACAAGCACACAGTTGTTGGCTATTAAAAATTTTTGCTTTAAGTTATTTTTCTCATTAGAGTAATGGCTCATTATAAGCAAATCTTTGAACGTTTAATTGGCTTTTGCCTTCTTTTGCTGAAAAGTACATTTTGGTTTTTACATTAATCAAGTCATTAGTAGGAATAGGTTCCAAAGCAATCAAATATTTTGAAATTACATGGTCAAACTAATCAACTAAAATTTTTACTTTTTTAAGAAATATTTAAATGATGAAACACACAGACTTTATGCCTAATCCATATCTGTGTGGGAAGACCCTTATCACATAGAAGCAGCCCATATAAGTTTAAGCTCATGGCCTACTCAGAAATTTTCTAGCTTGTAGATCTTCACATGATGAAACACACAGACTTTATGCATAATCCATATCTGTGTGGTCACAACTTCTCCCACGTTTTATTCTTTCCTTGCATTGTAATTCCTGTGTGCAAGCTAAGAAAGAAAGAGCATTTTTGTTCAAGAAGATATATTTGTTCATCCGATAAGATTTTAACCATGCCAAAAAATTCCCACATAGATTTGAAAAAAAAGATGGACGGTTGTTGTTCATCTAAAACCATGGTATCTTTTGCCTCCAAACAGTGGCAATGCAAGGCATCCACGCTCCCAAGTTGAAAAAGTGAATTTGTTGGAGAGTCAATTCCAGAAAAGAAGATTTTAGAGTGGTTGTTAGTAAAGAACAAACGAAAGAATTGACAAATAGAGAGAATATTAGATGTGGGTTTGCATCTTGGCACCAAGCGGTGAGCTGATGATCATCTTCATTTACACAATAAAATATATATGGGAAAAAGAAAAAGAACCCAGTGGTTGTTAATCCATTGTATGCACCGCTTATAAGATGTGAACTTATATTTCCGTCCTCTAAAGTTGGCTAAAGTATTGATACCCAATTCAAATCGAAGTCTCTGCATTTTGCTCGATCTTTCATTTACAATTTCTTTTTTAAAGTTAAATATGAACATGTATTCTTTATCTGAGTAATTAGATCATGATCGTATTAATAAATATCTATACGGATGAACCTTTCAGAAAAAGATGAACCGTCAGGTCAGGAGTCGACTTTTCTGGTGTTTAAAAAATATGTTTTTTGTATAAAAGAATCCAGAAAAGATGGTGCCACTCAGATCAATTTATTGCTTTACACGATCCTCTCAACTGTTTCAGTTTATTTTACTATTTGCAAAATGTGGTGCCAAGTGCCAACGGTAGAGAATGGAGCTAATATGACATAGCTCTTGTTAGATATTCTTTTGGTTTCTTATATGCATGGCAGATTATTTTTTATCAGTCTATTTTTGTAATAGGTAAATGCATTAGACAAAGGTCATCTCCTGGTTCATTTGCTAGCTTTATACTATCTTGGAATCAAAGAATATGAGAAAGATTATTGCTTTGGTGTAGCTTTAGTTTCTTAAAACACAAGACAGCATTAGCAAAACCTTATTCTATAGGCAAGAATTTTAGAGATGCTTTCAGCACCCCACAAGCATGTCTTGTCTATCTCAACCAATTGTAGCCGTGGATGGATGTTGGCATGACATAGGCTGATAGTTTTCCGAGTGTCTCTATAAACCTTAACACTAAACCATAACTTACTAACCAATCTAAAATTGCTTCTCTTTCCCTCTAGTTCCTCCTCCTCCTTGCAGTCTATTACTTCTGGAAAAAATGGCTTCGGAAAAGACCAGCGGTAAGGACCTTGAGGCTGGCACCACCAGCGACCCTGCAATTCAACCCAACACCACAGGTGCAAGCAACTCTAATTTTGGTAAAGCAGTGGCACGGAGAGCAGTTTCAGGGTCACGCAAGCGTCGAGTTCATGGCAGAAAAGTTGCAACCGGTGATGCCAGATCGTTGCCAAGCAGGCTAAGCAAGGTTTCCTTGGCTGAAGATTCAACAGATTGATTACGAAATAGTTATACAATTATTGAGCGGACAGAAGTCTTTTGTAGTAAAATTACCACTATGCAAAATTATTAGGTCCTATAGTTTTCGTATTTGTTTAGAAGGTAAATAAAATGTAGAGATCTTAGATGTATCCAGGGCCAACACATAAAGCACCATCATCATCAAGACTAATAACGCCATGATCAGGACTACAAGAAGTAGACCATTAAAACAGTTAATTGCAGAGTTACTACATCAAAGTAATACAAAATAAAACAAGTAACTGATCTTATAAGTAGACAAAAACATATACAGATTACTGGAGAATATGGCTTGGTAAGTTCAACACAACAATAATCGCTATGTAGACAAACTACGAAATAATGTATACTTTAGGAAGATCGAAGTGGTTAACCCACATCTGCTCTCATATTGTTTAGTCACAAACAATCATGATCAGACACGTTTAGCATATTAAGGTTTAGGTGTGCTAGAACGCAACAGAACATAAACCGATTCCTTTCCGTATGATTTGAAGACAATGGATGACTCTACATTGACTAACTATATGTACAGCATTGTCGAATTTATAAATGTGACTCAGAAAACAAAGAGCAATAAGTATTTCAATGGCACAGTACTTGTTCAAGTGGGTGTACAAGTATTTGAAAGAACTAAAAAATGAACTGCAATGATAAATCACTGACCTATCTAATGCTATTGCTTCCTACATCAATTGTCGTCTCCAATATCTTATTCTACAAGTATCTTAGTGCATCTGCATTCAAATTATCACTTCCCATTATTGGACAACTGGATGCATTTTGTCCAAACTGCCTACAGTAAGGCTCAGAACAATGACTTCGCTTTCTAGTAATATCAACACCATCTCTTGGCTTTCTCTCTTTGAGCTTTTCTAAATTAAAAGGTTCGTGAGGATTTCCAACTGTAAAACTCTGAATAATTCCATCATTATCTTCTACCTCTGGTAGAATCAATGAGTGAGATGGACAAGTATAGCAGATGTCATCCATATCATGTGTTGGCCTGGGAAGTTCTTTGATACGATTTAGTACAATCGCAATTTGCTCACAAGCAGCATCAAGGCGTTCCTCTGTTTCAAGAGATTCCGATACAAGAGTTGAAGCCATGGACTCTAATAATTGAATCTTCTCAGAATGTTCTCTTGCAGTAGTCCTTAATGTGAATGTAGAAGATGAACTAAGACCATGCCAACGGATGGGCAGATATCGGTCTGGAATCTGAAAACAGTTATTAGTTGACAGGACACGGAGAATATGCCTACAAAGGATGCCAGAAAACTCAAAATGACAGCAGCTACAGCTCATTAGATCTTGACTTGGAATCCACATGACTTTGTGATTGCCATCCATCTCAGCATGGTGTTTGACCTGGAAACATCCTTCATCTACCAGAAGAGATGCGTACTGTGGTGCCATTACAAGCTCTTCTTGAAGTTTACCAAAGGCATAAGGAGTAAGAAAAGAAGCTGCATGAGATTCAATTGGTGAACCTGTTTTGAGGCCGACATTCTGCTGCTTACGTTGCATCTTTTGCTTGGGTCCAGCCAGATGATCATATCCAACAATTTCAGCCACCTGTAAAAAGGCTGCTTAATCATAGACTGCTTATAATGCTAACTATATGATTAAAAGAAATGGAATAAAATACACACTCGCTCCACAAAACGATCTAGTTGAGACTGTGCACTCAAAATCCGTTGAATAAAAGCATTAACTGCCTCTGACTGGTACATATTCAACAATCCGGCAAAGAAGTAATGCCTCAAGAATGGCAATGCCCATGATGTCCGTAATGCATATAAGCTGGTAATATGCTTATATTCATGGAGTCCATATTTATTAACCATTTTTCTCCACTCTTTTTCAAAATCTTCTTCAAAGTCTAGGTTATGGAGCCTATAAAATTCAGCTTTCCAGTCATCATAACATGAACCAAGCAATGTAGGAAACAAATCTGAGAACTTTGAAATAATATGCCAAACACAAACAGCATGTCTCGTTGCAGGCATTTCAATGGCAACAGCCTCTTTCAGCCAGATATTTTGGTCAGTTGATATTGTTTGTGGAGCCTTTCCTTTCATAAAGCCCAAAAATGTCTGCAGAAACATCCAGAAAGTAGGAGACTTTAATTTTGAAAAGAAAAGAAAAGAAAAACAAATTGGAAATAAAAGACCAAGATGACAAAATATCTTCATGCGATAAGAGGAAGGAAAAAGGTTAATCAATGCAGATATATCGAGAAAACAGACAAATTCATCATCACTACTATGAACAGTTGGCTGTGTAAGTTTTGTACTCAATTGAAAGGTCAAGCCCAAGCACAGAACATGCAAAGTTCTGGGTTTGGGAACCATCAACATGGTGCCTGTCAAAGTGGTAATCTAATATNGTTGCAGGCATTTCAATGGCAACAGCCTCTTTCAGCCAGATATTTTGGTCAGTTGATATTGTTTGTGGAGTCTTTCCTTTCATAAAGCCCAAAAATGTCTGCAGAAACATCCAGAAAGTAGGAGACTTTAATTTTGAAAAGAAAAGAAAAGAAAAACAAATTGGAAATAAAAGACCAAGATGACAAAATATCTTCATGCGATAAGAGGAAGGAAAAAGGTTAATCAATGCAGATATATCGAGAAAACAGACAAATTCATCATCACTACTATGAACAGTTGGCTGTGTAAGTTTTGTACTCAATTGAAAGGTCAAGCCCAAGCACAGAACATGCAAAGTTCTGGGTTTGGGAACCATCAACATGGTGCCTGTCAAAGTGGTAATCTAAGATGACTACTCAGGGCACACTCAAATATAAGTAGACGCAAAGTTTTTATACCTTCAAAGCCCAGGAAAAAGACTGAATATTTTCATCTCGCAAAAGCACACAACCAAAAAAACAGGTCATTCCATGATTGTCCAGTCCAACCAAAACGCCAAATAACATATCATAACAATCCAAGCGGTGGGTTGTGTCAAAAACCACTGCATCTCCAAATGCCTCATACAATTGAAATGATGAAGCATATGTCCAAGCGATATGCTCTAGCCTATTATGGCCATCCATTTTAAAGTCATATTGGAAGTTGTGATTTTCATCCTTCAGTTTCTTGCACATTGCAATAAGATCAGTAGCATCATAATCACGATTGACATTTCTAAAAGACTGTAAGAGGTTTCTCACATCTATTTCTGTAAACGGTAAACAACCTAGCTTAACACCTTTCTCTAGCTCCATCAGTCTTAACATTTGACGCACTGACATTCCAGCTTTTGCAAACATGCAAATCCGAGTCTTGTCATCTGGAGTAATGGTGCAGTAAGGAGGAAGTAGGTGCACTTCATTTGATTTTAAGAGTTCATGGTTGTGAATGTTGCTAAAGCCTGTAACACGCCATTCAGGGACATCAAAATCTACCCGCTTAACAATGCGCATATATGCTTGACAACCACAACGCGAAGATTTTCTATTCCTTTGCATCTTCCCATCTTCAGAAGGTTTCATCTGCGGATATCCACCACGATGACAAGTAAAATCTCTCCTTGTAACTCCTCGACCCACCCCATCCTTTCCTCTAGTTCTGTGTCTTCTAATAGAAAACCCACATTGCTTAGCAAAACTGCAATAAAACTCATAAGCTGCATCTTGAGATACAAATCTTTGGCCAATAAATGGAACAAGATTGATAGAAGTTTGTTGTGACAATATTGTATCTTCAGGAGTTTCCTCTATGGTACCGGTATCATCTTGAGACAAATCCGGGCCATTCTCAGAAGCCATACTAGTTCCTTCTGACATTATTTCCGCAATACATTTACTAAAAACGAAACTACTACCAACACAAAACCTGCAAGCAACATTTGAAGCTCATCACAAGTTGGCAACTAAGTCACAAATTTATTCAAGAAACCAGATTTCATTGATTATAGATGCTATCAAGTATCAATCTTTTCCATAAATACTCCTCAATCAAGCTCATTCACTAAACAAAATTCCACTTTTCTGCAACTAAGTGCTTCATAACAACATCAAAGTTCAAAATTATGTTACACTTAACAAAGTTTACTGAGCACTAGCTCTTAATTAAGACAATTTACTAATTATAATCAATAGATAAATATAATGAAGACGAGCTTAATTGGACCAAAATGAAACCAACCCAGAAAATATTTTGATCTCTTTATAATGAATAATTCATTTATCAGTCTCCCCAAAATCCCCAATTATCTCTTGTAACACACAAAAAACCTCGAAAACAAATGAACATAAAAATAAATCTAGCGATATGAAATATGCACGTACCTGAAAATAAAATTTTTAACGGCCAATAACGAACTGAAATAGAGAAATATGGAGAAAGGATGAAACTGGCGGGGAAATTAGAGAGGGGGAGCAAAGCGCATCCTGTGGAGAAGGATAACTATTCACAGCGAGGATTAGCTACCGTGCGCCCTGTGGGTGTTAAAGTTTCTCGGGTGCACATGATAATTTCTAGCCGTTCGATTAACACAGGCCGCTTTGTGGGGTCCTTTGAAACCGGGATTTGTGGTGATGTCTGTACTCTGTACTGTCTCAAGTCATAACCTCATCCTCGCTAGCGTACGCTAGCGTCAATCCTTATTGTTTGAATCTTGTTTCTGGATTTGGGTCTTAGCGGAAAGCCTGATCTTAATGAAATGGGCCTATTTATGAACATAATTTGGGCCATGTTAAGGCCCACTGAGGTTGAGATACTTTGGATCTACCCGGTGGCGAGTTCAACGACAGTGCTAATTCTATTGGATGGATTTTCCGACGATCTATTCAATAATGTCAGTAATGACTAATCGACAATCTATCCAGTAATGAAATATTATTAAATAATTATTTGGTAAATTTTGTTTATATTGTATAATGTCACCTCTGCTAATACAATGTTTTTTTTTTTTTTTTTTTTTTGTAATCGAGATGTTCAAACCAGTTCAGTGCAACTAAACTCATCATTGGTATTCATTAACACCTTACAACTTGAACAAATACCTTAAGTAATCAACTTATAAGTCTTATCATCCGACCACATACAAGTAGTTTAATCATTAAGCAATGTTATTTAACAAACCAAACACACCATAGGGAGGTTTCATCCAAATAGTTATTATTTAAATTAAATTGTACTTGGTTAGTAAGTTCTTTTTCTATTTGAATTAGCTAGCCAGCTAGCTATGGTATTTGCCTTCTATATTTGTATATAAATTAAAAAATTAGTGGTCTCGTGAATTGTGGAGGACGGAGATATGTAGATGTGAAAGATGAATAAAAAGGGTCCAGTTATATAACAGCCAAATAGAGTTAAACAACAGAAAATGGTGACAGGATTGCAATGGCGGCACTTTAAATCAATGGCTTTGGTTAATCGACCAAATGCATTCCAATCCAAAGGAAAATGCATGTATGATCTTCGGATGAAGAATCCTCACCACACCCACATCTCCTTATTGGTATTTGAGCAGTAAATGCTTAGCCGTCCACATAAATCCACTAGGTCGCTCGTACAATGTCTTCTCCATTATCATCATGTTCTGCAAGATGACAAAAAACCGATAATGAGCCAGAGAGAAAGATGATTTATAATATCGCCTTCATATAATTCACTAAAAATGGTCCAATGCTTACTTATTGTATCTTGAGAATTGGTTAGATGATATGATGACAGCATCTATAAAATGAGCTTTTATTTAGAACCTAGCCGAGTACTAGTGCATGAAACCTTTTCATTACTTTTTTATGATCTGCCCATAGATTTTAGGTAGGTTAATTTTTAGGATTGTATGTTCGGGAAGAAACGAGAATCTTTGGGTAGATGCAATTTCAATGGTTTGTTTGATGAAGTTGAAAAGACAAGGAGGGTGGGATTTGGGACGTCAAATGAGATGGCATTGTGTGGGGGGCACAGTCATCATCCATATCAGGTGCGAGGCAGCCAACGCCATTCTCCCCTTCATTTTAGTAGCCGACATTCTTTTAGAACCATAAAACAGCCTCCTTGCCCTTTGGTGTTGGGCACATGCGCTTGTTAAGTGACAAAAATACTCCAAATGTCAACAATATATACAATTGCTGTACGTCCACCCTAAGTCAAACAGAAGTGCAGAATTGAGTCTACAGGTTATATGGTTATGAATGGTTTTAGCAAAACTTCAACGTCAAATTTCTTGACTGCACTGCGAATATGTTTGTAAATAATTGAAAATAACATGATTGCACGTTGACATTTGCACACGCATGAATATATCTAGCTATCATATAATGGTAAGAATATAAAGACAGTAACAGTAAATAATCACGAAAGTCTACACTCTCTAACTAGGTTTAATTTGGTTTTATTGTAGCTTGGGTGTGCTTAGTGGAGGGTGTTTGGGTCAGTTTGCATGAAAGTTTGATCCCTATAAATTGCAAAAGATAAAGCTCTTTCTCTTGCATATGAACAAATTAATATAATATCACTTAATTTTCAGTATGAGTGCGTCACTCAATCCTAATTTTCATGAGCTTGATGATGATCACAATAAGCAACCATCTTCAACCTTTAAGTTATTTGGTTCTCTTGTACAAAATTGTGGTAACGAAACACCGGCAACAGCTTCACCATGCAACGAAGACATACGGAGGTTTGTGTGTTCATACTGTTGTCGAACGTTTAGAAACTCTCAAGCACTGGGTGGTCACCAAAATGCTCATAGGAGAGAACGCCAACTGTTAAACCTAGCCAATTGTGATGGTAATCTTCATCGTCGAGGGTTAGTGTCAACCGTCGACATCAGTGCGGAGCATGCAGCCCGATCAGCGCCGTTGATTGATTATGCTATAGAGTCTAATCACGTGAGGGTAGAAGCAGATAGGTTCCACTGTTTGTCACCACCATTAATATTATCTCATGGAGGTTATTGTGGACTATTGCCACCTCAGCTTCCTGTTGAGGGCTCAAGCTCATCAACTGTTGAGGTCCTTGAGGATCCAAAAGCATTTCCCTCAATTGCAGTAGAAGATCAAGATGATGTTGATCTCCACTTGAGGCTGGCACCCTCCAAGTCTTGAGGCTCAACTATTAATATTTAATTAACGAAATAAAATTATATGTTTACATCAATCTATTTTAAGCATATGTTAATTTTATTTTGCTATAAAATTGTCCACTTTCCCTTTCTGCTCCTAGATTATATGGTTTAATATAATAATAATGAAATTAAATAACTTGATTATCACTAAAATTATATAGCATTGTCCGTTAAAACACTAAAGTTAACGGTAAGGTAATCTTAAATAACATACTCAAGAGTCTATATTCGATCAGTTGACCATCTAGGATTTGGTTTTGTTATTATATCAATGTATGGCTAATATCTCAATAAATAAACATAAGACGGCATAGACATACCCCAAAATGCCGATAATTTTGGTAACATACAACTACAAGAGAGAAATTCATGGCCAACCACATTTTTCCTTCTCTCCCACCATTTCCATTATTAAATTTTCCACCACCCTCAAAATATTTTTGAATAATTAATCAAGACACGTAACACAAATATAGTAGTGCCAAATCATAATTAAAATTATTGTTGCTAATTTTCCAATTCAGAACTCCAATTCTTTAAGGTCAGATAGCTCATAGCTGTATCCTCCTCACCATGTCCTCTTCTCCATAAAAACCATAATCAAACTAACCTGACTCCTAGTCAACTAGCTCCCCCCTTCTCGTATGTAACAACAAATAACAAATCTAGAACCTCTTCTGGCATTTGATCTTGTCTATTTCATTGTATAATCCCTACAATGAATCTTCCCCAAACGATAGATCAACACACGAAAGATATGGAAAACTTCAATTTAGCCCAACGAGCGTATCGCAGTGTATGGGAGGTTGAAAAGAAGCCAAATAACAACAATAACAACAACAACAACAATAATAATGATCATAAGCATGTTGCACATGTTCGTGCACCGGATAATCACCTCCGTCCGTCGAATGGAATCACATCATCAGCAATATCAACACCAACAACAATGTCGTGGCATAATAACAATATTAATAATAGCAAGAACTACGGAGTTTCCATTAAAAAAACACCGTCGTGGATTAACGATGCGGAAGTGAAGAGACAAAAGAGGGTTGTGAAGTACAAGGCGTACGCGGTTGAAGGACAGGTCAAGGCTTCGTTGAGAAACGGGTTTCGTTGGGTCAAGAACAAGTATTGTGAACTTGTACATGGCTACTAGCAATAGCAAATACCACAGACCAACCATTTCAAATAATTTCTTTCTTCTTTCATTCTTTCATTCTTTCATTTCATTAAATTTTCTTTCTTCTTTTTGATTCATTTCTGGCAAAGATGAATGGCAATGTCTCGATGCTTATAATTAAAGGTTTCCAGTTCCTTATTAACATTTATATCATTTTTTTTGCCTTTTTTTTGCATTTGTTCTCCAGATTTTGTGTAAATTAATTGATTTTCTTCCTTATATTAACATCAATAGTTGGTATAAGTTGTCAACTAATCAAAAGATTATTACCCTATTACATGATAGTCGTATTAAATGAAGTTGAATATAGTACAGCCGAATTAAATGCATACTATAATAACTTGTTCCAACCTTAATTATTTGACTATTTCATAGGATTTTAAGTTTTAGGTAAAACTTCAATTCCAACTTCCAATTGAACGTAAACACTATAATTCAATCTTCTTCTGTAATTTACATAGATTAGGTAATCCAATGCCATTTCAATTAAATGAATTAGATGATCAATTCACATTGTCAAAGGACAACAAAATCATTCAACCCACCTATCCATGGGTAGCCCAACAGTAAGAGCAAACCAAAGGGGATTATACATGGCTTTAACCTATGGTTCCAAGTTTGATTCCCTGTTGGATGTAAAGGTTGCGACAGTGTGTTGCTGTGAGATAAATTTCCTTAAGAATTAGTCGAGGTGTGCATAAACTAGTCCGAACATCTCAGTTAAAAAAAAAAAAAAAAATCATTCGACTCATCACTTAAATCAACAAATTAAACTGATTTTTTAACATTTAATTTAATTCTTTGGATACTAGATTTTTGAAGGGCATTAGATAAGATTGATTAATTAAATATGTAATAATAAAATAACACTAATTAGATCTAAATCTGTCTCATAATATTATTATATTCCCATTATCATGGAATGGTCTTACGAACAATGTAATTAATCTAAGTTTATTTTGGGGAGAACGACATTTTCCCACCCAAGGTTTGGCGAAATGACACTTTCTTACCCACCGTTAAGACCCGTTAGTAAATTATGTTAACTGATGTGGTATCATTATCGTAAAGACGAAAACAACCTTTTAGTTGAATGTAAATGGAAATCCTTTAGTTTGAAGAAAAAAATTAAACATCTGAACAAAATTAGTTGGCCAAAATCAGAAGGAATAGCACCTGTGCTATGCTGTCGACTGCTGCTGCTGCAAATCGTCGGCGAGGCCACTAAATAACCCATGGATGCTCAACCGAAATCCATCACAAAGTAACACAAATCCGGCCAAAAATCCACCATCAAGCAAACACGAATCCGACAAAAAATCGATCACCAAACAACCTAAATTCAACCACCCAAACACCAATCAACAACACACAAACCATTATTCAACAACACGCAAAAGATAAACATTGGGTTCAAGGGAAACAGGGTAACAAAAAATCACGTTCAAATAAAAGGAAGTTCGCGGGTTGAATGCCTGAAGTATTGGTTAAAGTCCAGCTCGTGACAAAGAGTTACCTTCTCTCTTAAGAGAATCTCGATTTACTCACTGAACACCAACAAATTGGAAAATCAAAATGCGGCTTTACTTCACATCACAAATGAGAAAAGGTTCTTAGCCACCATGACCGGTTTTCGTAAAAGTACCTTTAGGCAATGGTTTTTCGATCCAATCTCTCACTTGAAGAAAGATAGCTGCATATATTATGTATGCTATAATGATAGAGTTCTTTTTTCAGGGTAAGACTAAGGTGAACAAGACGGGTAGTTCAACATAAAATTCTTAGAATGCAGTAGCCTTTGATGAACAACACTTGGCCGATTTAAGGAAAACTTTCGAATGCGATAAGATGGTTTGAAAATGAACCCATTCAATCAAGTGTGCATTTGGAGTGGAGTAAGGGCTGGGAATTTTTTAGGATTACTAGTGCGCCACCTAGGCATTGAGATAAACAAGAACAAAGCATGAGCAATTACTATTACTGAAGCTTCTCCTCTAAAAAAGGAATTGTAGCAATCAAAAGGATGCCATTAATTAGTCTAACGAACAAGCAAGGGATTGAACTGCTAGAATTAGCATTAGCGCAATCGTTTTCTCAGAGAATTTCGTTGCAAACGAATTTTCCCACCTAACAGTGTCAGTTGCAATTTTGGGGCGGTGGGGTGGAGAACGACGGTGGGGTGTGAAGGCCAGAATCACACCTGGTCGAATGCAATTCCAGCTGAATCGCATGGAGAAGATGACAGCCAGGTGCAATTTTAGGGCCGTGGAGCAGATAGGGGTGGGGAGGGGGGAGAGAACGGCGATGGGGTGTGGAAGGGTGAGGAAGAAAGGTAGGGTTTCTTTAATTTTATATATAGGGGGTGAAATGACTTTATTAGCCTGTGACTATTTTATAAATTTACAGTTTTATCGTTCTTCAGTTAAGGTTAACTGACGGTGTGTGGGACAGTGTCGTTTTGAAACTTAGCGGGTGACAAAGTGTCGTTTTGTGAAACCTTGGGTGCGGAAGTGTCGTTCTCCCTTAATTTTGCGAGAAAATCGCACGGTTCAGGTTACATCCCAACAGTCGGGCCCATTATAAAATTAACAATTATATGAAATTACCCTGTTACCCTCAACTTCAAACGGCAAAATCTCCAAGAGAAAATTTAAAAACATTACCGGACACGTGGCAACACAATATCGAGTAACTCATCCTCAACGTACACTCTGCTGTGACTTTAAAAAAACACTTGCACAATACATCATGTCTCCGTTTGGAATTTGAAATCTCTCCCTCTAACCAAAGAGACGTTACAAACTTTTTACTTTTATATTATAATAAATTGTTTTCTCGAAGCATTTAAAAAAAACATATTTATTTATTTTAAATAATAATATTTATTTACATTTGTCCCTCCCATTTAATGCTTTGAACTACACTCTGTCTCTCTTCAAATCTCTCACTCCCTCTTTAAAATCTCTGCAAAAACTAACAATAACTCTTCAAAACAAGCCCTAACCAACTCAAATTTAGCTGGCATTGATTGGAGTGAAACCCAGAAGAGATCCACAGACTGTGTTGATTGTTTTCATGTAAGTTAAGTTTCATAGCTTTTGATTTTGATAAGTTTATTTTTGTGGGTTCTTTTTGGTTTCTGAGAAAATGTGGAAATGAAACGAGATTGATAACATTGGTATAGTTTTCTTTTATGGGTCCTTTGAAATATTGAATTTTGAAACCTAATTGAGGTCAGAACATTTATGCAGTGTAGCTGAAACTTGTAGTTATGTAAGTTACTTAAATTGTCTGATTCATTGACTTCGTTTGGTTGATTAAAGGAGCAGCCTTTTGGGTTTAAATTTTAGTATGTTGAGTAGTTGAATCAAAAATAGGGGCTTGAAGTGTTTTGATATGAAAGGAGAGTTAGAACGGTTGAAAGTATGGTCAACTGTGAGGTGGTAAGTTAGTTTGATTAAGTTGTTGAGTTTTTAGTTTTCATGAACAAAGTTAATTCTTTTATGTTTCAGATGATGCGAGATGAATTTCAAGGTTGTATACTTTTTCCATATATAACAGATCAGGGTTTCCTATCATCGACGAGTTCAAATATTGTTGTGAATTTAAGTCAGATAAAGAGTCAGTTGTCACTCGGTAATTTTAAGAGATATATCAGGCCGTTGTCATGAATAAATTAGTTAATGGCTGTTTTAAACTTTTCCGTACAAATGCTGGCATATTCAAATGTTGCAGAATCTGTTCGTTTTCTGGCTCATTAAGTGATAAGTTATTAATTTACTATGTTAATGTGTAGAATTGCGTACAATATGATTTTTGAACATCATAATCCTTCTTGTGTATTCTGTGAAGATCATACACTTGTTTAGAATATCTATGACCATATGATTTATCATTTTCCAGTTTCCACTGCACCAGTCAAGAATGCACATCAGGTTTTGTTTTTTCAGTTGGGCTACGGAAGAATGCAAATTGGTCAGAAAAAATAATTAACGGCTGCACTGAATCAGGTTGCTGATGGATTTTGGTTGGTGGAGCAGAGTCTGTATTCCTTCTTGTTTCTTCAACTTGTAATTACTGAAGTAGCCTTGAAATTTGATCGCAAAAATGGGAATTGAGAGAGAAGGTTCAAAAAGTGGAGGAGGTTATGTAGGTGGTTTCTTTCAGTTATTTGACTGGAAAGCAAAATCTCGGAAGAAGCTATTCTCAAGCAAGTCAGATTTTCCAGGTACAATTTGATTCCATTGTGTAGAATGTGAATGTGTATCATGTATGTTGTAAATTATAGTATATAAGATCAGTCTCTTTCATGGTTGGTCATGGACTCATAGATATTCTTCCTTCGTTCCATTGTAGAACGTTCAAAACAGGGAAAGAGAAGTGATGGGACCTTGCCAATGACCCGGCTTCATCTGGTGAGAATATGATATTCTTGAATCTCTTAATATGCATCTTCATTCTTGGTGACTGAATGTAAGACCAGTTTAACTAATTTTGTAAGTATTGCAGACAGATGAGGATGAAACTGGAGCAGGAGCAAGTTTCAAAGGAAGCAGTGATTATAGTTGTGCTTCATCTGTAACAGATGATGACGGATATGGAGCTAAAGCCCCTGGGGTAGTAGCCAGGCTTATGGGATTAGATTCCCTGCCCACGTCTTCCGAGCCCTATTCTACCCCATTTTTTGATACCCAATCTCTTCGAGATGCTCATTACTGCAGGAAAAACCCTGAATATCATCTTGACCGCCAAATCATGCATTCTGGGCATCTGCTCCATAAGGTGGAAAGCGATGCAAGGGACTTTGTGGAGTCAAAGCCTCAGAGAATGATGAGCAGGCCAATAGAGAAGTTCCAAACTGAAATTTTACCTCCAAAATCAGCTAAATCTATCCCAATTACCCACCATAAACTTTTGTCACCCATCAAGAGTCATGGCTTCATTCCAACTAAGAATGCTGCTCACATAATGGAAGCTGCTTCAAAAATTATTGAGCCTGGACCCCAAGCTAATACCAGGGCGAGAATGTCTGTACTTGGGTCTTCTTCTGTACCCTTGAAAGTTCGGGATCTCAGAGAAAAAGCGGAGGCTGCACAGAAAATGCAGCTGGTTGGCTCTTCTTCAGTACCCTTGAAAGTCAGAGATCTAAAAGAGAAAGTAGAAGCTGCCCATAAAACAACTAGGCTTGCTGAAGCTTCTCGTAGGCCTGTTGAAAGTAATGCTGCCAAGTGTCTCAAGGGTCAGTCATTAAACAAGAGCTGGAATGGATCAATAGATACAGCATCTTTTAGGGAATCTGATGTGGAAGAGGTTACTTCTGGTGTGAAGAACAAGGGAAAATCCATTTCGCTTGCAATCCAAGCAAAAGTGAATGTCCAGAGAAGAGAAGGTTTAAATTCAAGCAGTAGTCGAAATTTGGTATCACAGAAAGAGCAGAGCGAGGTTAAGTCAAGCCAGCCATTCAAGAGTCAAGCAAACATTCAAAAGAATTTGCATAAGCGAACTTCTACTCACAATAGTACTTCTGGAGTGCTCAGGCAAAATAACCAAAAACAAAATTGTTTGATTGACAGGGACAGGTCATCCTCAAAGCCATTGGCTTCCGGCTCACAAAGTAGAAAATTGCCACCTGGGGATCCTTCTACTGTACGACACAAAACCTTGAGTCGAACTGCAGGGAACTCAAAAACTGGATCCAGGAAGTTGGACTCTGATTTATCAGATAGTGAAAAGGGAATTTCATACTCCAATGCTAAGAATGTTCCTAGGAAGAAACGATCAATTGAAAGGGACTCTCGTTATGAGAAAAATCAGGTTATTGATAATATGTTAATTGACAAAAGTCAGAAGGCAGTTAAGTCTAATCCAGTTATTGATAGGCACTTCTCTTTGACAGAGGACGGCAAAAAGAAATGCATTGATATAGGACACTCCTCATCAGGCATGGATGTTGTTTCATTTACATTCACAGCCCCACTTACTAGATCAATGCCTGGCTCTGAAACATCATGTCAAGTTGGTCAAAAAAATGTTAGTGTTTGCACTGAGAACCGGGGGGGTAAGAGATTATTGCTGGACACAGACAGTGTGAACTTATCTTCACTGGGTTATAATGTTATCGGGGGAGATGCTTTGAGTATGCTTCTGGAACAGAAGTTAAGAGAACTAAGTTACCGAGCTGAGTTTTCCCGCCATGATTCTTTCAAAGCAGGATCATCATCGTGTTCTGCGTCAACCTTTCCAGATCTCGTACCCGCTACTAATTCAATTGGCACTGCATCAAAGTTACAAGGTAAGGGATACCAACACGTGCTGCTTAGAGATACGCGAGGTAGCCAGTATGAACCTGATTTTTGTTCCAGTGACCCTCTGGCATTAAGACCCAAAAAATTTCAGGTATGTGAGAGGAAGCCTCCCATTTAATGCTTTGAACTACACTCTGTCTCTCTTCAAATCTCTCACTCCCTCTTTAAAATCTCTGCAAAAACTAACAATAACTCTTCAAAACAAGCCCTAACGAACTCAAATTTAGCTGGCATTGATTGGAGTGAGACCCAGAAGAGATCCACAGACCGTGTTGATTGTTTTCATGTAAGTTCAGTTTCATAGCTTTTGATTTTGATAAGTTTATTTTTGTGGATTCTTTTTGGTTTCTGAGAAAATGTGGAAAAGAAACGAGATTGATAACATTGTTATTGTTTTCTTTTATGGGTCCTTAGAAATATTGAATTTTGAAACCTAATTGAGGTCAGAACATTTATGCAGTGTAGTTGAAACTTGTAGTTATGTAAGTTACTGAAATTGTCTGATTCATAGACTTCATTTGGTAGATTAAAGGAGCAGCGTTTTGGGTTTAAATTTTAGTATGTTGAGTAGTTGAATCAGAGATAGGGGCTTGAAGTGTTTTGATATGAAAGGAGAGTTAGAACAGTTGAAAGTATGGTCAACTGTGAGGTAGTAAGTTAGTTTGACTAAGTTGTTGAGTTTTTAGTTTTCATGAACAAAGTTAATTCTTTTATGTTTCAGATGATGCGAGATGAATTTCAAGGTTGTATACTTTTTCCATATATAACAGATCAGGGTTTCCTATCATCGACGAGTTCAAATATTGTTGTGAATTTAAGTCAGATAAAGAGTCAGTTGTCACTCGGTAATTTTAAGAGATATATCAGGCCGTTGTCATGAATAAATTAGTTAATGGCTGTTTTAAACTTTTCCGTACAAATGCTGGCATATTCAAATGTTGCAGAATCTGTTCGTTTTCTGGCTCATTAAGTGATAAGTTATTAATTTACTATGTTAATGTGTAGAATTGCGTACAATATGATTTTTGAACATCATAATCCTTCTTGTCTATTCTGTGAAGATCATACAATTGTTTAGAATATCTATGACCATATGATTTTTCATTTTCCAGTTTCCACTGCACCAGTCATAAATGCACATCAGGTTTTGTTTTTTCAGTTGGGCTACGGAAGAATGCAAATTGGTCAGAAAAAATAATTAACGGCTGCACTGAATCAGGTTGCTGATGGATTTTGGTTGGTGGAGCAGAGTCTGTATTCCTTCTTGTTTCTTCAACTTGTAATTACTGAAGTAGCCTTGAAATTTGATTGCAAAAATGGGAATTGAGAGAGAAGGTTCAAAAAGTGGAGGAGGTTATGTAGGTGGTTTCTTTCAGTTATTCGATTGGAAAGCAAAATCTCGGAAGAAGCTATTCTCAAGCAAGTCAGATTTTCCAGGTACAATTTGATTCCATTGTGTAGAATGTGAATGTGTATCATGTGTGTTGTAAATTATAGTATATAAGATCAGTCTCTTCCATGGTTGGTCATGGACTCATAGATATTCTTCCTTCATTCCATTGTAGAACGTTCAAAACAGGGAAAGAGAAGTGATGGGACCTTGCCAATGACACGGCTTCATCTGGTGAGAATATGATATTCTTGAATCTCTTAATACGCATCTTCATTCTTGGTGACTGAATGTAAGACCAGTTTAACTAATTTTGTAAGTATTGCAGACAGATGAGGATGAAACTGGAGCAGGAGCAAGTTTCAAAGGAAGCAGTGATTATAGTTGTGCTTCATCTGTAACAGATGATGACGGATATGGAGCTAAAGCCCCTGGGGTAGTAGCCAGGCTTATGGGATTAGATTCCCTGCCCACGTCTTCCGAGCCCTATTCTACCCCATTTTTTGATACCCAATCTCTTCGAGATGCTCATTACTGCAGGAAAAACCCTGAATATCATCTTGACCGCCAAATCATGCATTCTGGGCATCTGCTCCATAAGGTGGAAAGCGATGCAAGGGACTTTGTGGAGTCAAAGCCTCAGAGAATGATGAGCAGGCCAATAGAGAAGTTCCAAACTGAAATTTTACCTCCAAAATCAGCTAAATCTATCCCAATTACCCACCATAAACTTTTGTCACCCATCAAGAGTCATGGCTTCATTCCAACTAAGAATGCTGCTCACATAATGGAAGCTGCTTCAAAAATTATTGAGCCTGGACCCCAAGCTAATACCAGGGCGAGAATGTCTGTACTTGGGTCTTCTTCTGTGCCCTTGAAAGTTCGGGATCTCAAAGAAAAAGCAGAGGCTGCACAGAAAATGCAGCTGGTTGGCTCTTCTTCAGTACCCTTGAAAGTCAGAGATCTAAAAGAGAAAGTAGAAGCTGCCCATAAAACAACTAGGCTTGCTGAAGCTTCTCGTAGGCCTGTTGAAAGTAATGCTGCCAAGTGTCTCAAGGGTCAGTCATTAAACAAGAGCTGGAATGGATCAATAGATACAGCATCTTTTAGGGAATCTGATGTGGAAGAGGTTACTTCTGGTGTGAAGAACAAGGGAAAATCCATTTCGCTTGCAATCCAAGCAAAAGTGAATGTCCAGAGAAGAGAAGGTTTAAATTCAAGCAGTAGTCGAAATTTGGTATCACAGAAAGAGCAGAGCGAGGTTAAGTCAAGCCAGCCATTCAAGAGTCAAGCAAACATTCAAAAGAATTTGCATAAGCGAACTTCTACTCACAATAGTACTTCTGGAGTGCTCAGGCAAAATAACCAAAAACAAAATTGTTTGATTGACAGGGACAGGTCATCCTCAAAGCCATTGGCTTCCGGCTCACAAAGTAGAAAATTGCCACCTGGGGATCCTTCTACTGTACGACACAAAACCTTGAGTCGAACTGCAGGGAACTCAAAAACTGGATCCAGGAAGTTGGACTCTGATTTATCAGATAGTGAAAAGGGAATTTCATACTCCAATGCTAAGAATGTTCCTAGGAAGAAACGATCAATTGAAAGGGACTCTCGTTATGAGAAAAATCAGGTTATTGATAATATGTTAATTGACAAAAGTCAGAAGGCAGTTAAGTCTAATCCAGTTATTGATAGGCACTTCTCTTTGACAGAGGACGGCAAAAAGAAATGCATTGATATAGGACACTCCTCATCAGGCATGGATGTTGTTTCATTTACATTCACAGCCCCACTTACTAGATCAATGCCTGGCTCTGAAACATCATGTCAAGTTGGTCAAAAAAATGTTAGTGTTTGCACTGAGAACCGGGGGGGTAAGAGATTATTGCTGGACACAGACAGTGTGAACTTATCTTCACTGGGTTATAATGTTATCGGGGGAGATGCTTTGAGTATGCTTCTGGAACAGAAGTTAAGAGAACTAAGTTACCGAGCTGAGTTTTCCCGCCATGATTCTTTCAAAGCAGGATCATCATCGTGTTCTGCGTCAACCTTTCCAGATCTCGTACCCGCTACTAATTCAATTGGCACTGCATCAAAGTTACAAGGTAAGGGATACCAACACGTGCTGCTTAGAGATACGCGAGGTAGCCAGTATGAACCTGATTTTTGTTCCAGTGACCCTCTGGCATTAAGACCCAAAAAATTTCAGGTATGTGATTCTGGCTTTTTCTAAGAGACTATTTTAATTTGCTTTTCATTATGTTTATTGGGGTAAATGATCTTTAGCCATCTAGTCACAAGAAGATGCCTTAGTTTTGGATTTTTACATCTTAAAAAATCAACATTTTTTGAATCGAGTAAACTCGTCAGAGCTAAGCTTTTATTTATGGGGTTTGTATCAACTTGTCTCTCAAAATCCATGACAGAGTAACCAAAGAAAAAAGATGGGGAAATGATAACCCTGGTACAATACCTAGTCCCATCTTGACGAGGCCAGTCTGGTCTGCTAGAGCATTGCTTGTATGCTCTATACTTCTTTTTGCCTGACTTTTGCAGCATTGGCAAATATTATGTCATATCTAAGAATAAATCCTAGGTCTTTCATTCTATATCTAAAATAGATATGTAGATCATTAGGATATCCTGCATCATGTTCACCAAGTTTATTAATTAATTGGGTTTTATGGATGCTTTCAACTTCTATAATTAATAGATGCAAATGTGGCATTATCAGGGCATCGATGAGATGGATGAGTGCAGCAACCATATTGATGGAAAACAGTTGCTTGATTGTCGACATCCAAGTCCTGTTTCTATTCTCGAACCTTCTTTTTCTGCTGAAAGTTGCAACTCTTCGGATACGGCAGATAGTACTATTACAGAGGGTAAGACCATCAGCCTCGTGTGCTTTATCTCTGTTAAATATTGATTCTCCAGGAATGCTCATTTATTTACAATATGCTTTCAGGAGGTAAGCAGAGTTCATCTATCCAAGCTCAGGAGGCTTTTGGTATGTGTTCTTTGAAGAAGTTCTACCCATTAGAAGCTGATATAGAGTTGTCAGATTCGGCTTCTTCCACATCAACTGGAACTATGGCTAAAATGAGTGCAGATACAACAATTGTGACACATCTGTTGGGATCAGCCAAGTGGGAATTGGAATATGTGAAGCAGATTTTGAGTAACGTAGAATTGATGTTTAAGGACTTTGCACTAGGTCGGGCTCGTGACATCATCAATCCTTATCTCTTTGATCTGTTGGAAACTCGAAAAGTAGGACTGCAAAGTAACAGTGATGAGTCTAGGCTAAGTCGGAAGGTATTATTCGACTGTGTAAGTGAATGCATGGACTTAAGATGCAGGCGGTATGTAGGTGGGGGATGCAAAACATGGATAAAAGGGGTTGCAATGGTGAGACGAAAGGATTGGTTAGCTGAAGAATTGCACAAGGAGATCTCCGGATGGAGGGCCATGGGAGATTGTATGGTGGATGAACTTGTAGAAAACGATATGAGCAATCAATATGGCAGATGGCTGGACTTTGAAGTTGATGCATTTGTACTTGGAGTAGAAGTTGAGGATCAAATATTCAGTTCTTTGGTTGACGAAGTGGTTGCTGATATCTTCCAAATTTAATGCCACAGGTTGATGATAGTTTATCGCTTGCAAAATGTATGTTGTCTTGTTCTCCTTATATATTACCTATGTTTTTAGGATTCTTAGAGTTATTCATCAAATTTCTGCTTCAATTTCAAGGCATTATGAATGAGCAAGTTGCAATTTGCAATAATAGAGCGTGCAAAAGGCCAGTTTCTGAGAAAATATACCATTTTCTCTTGTTGTATGCATATAAATAGCAAGTGTGTGATACTGAGTTTTGTGTTTTATACTTGATTGAGGCTATCAAACAAAATGTTTTGATTCTTCGTTTAAACGAAGACCGATTTGATTTTTAGCAAGGTATTCATTCATTCTTGAACTTCTTCTTTGATTTAGCAATTGTAATGAGCAAAACAAACTCAAACTTAGAATATAATCCAGTGTTTACTGTCATTACATATTCTTAGCAAAATGTGTACACTAATTAATACCAACTTAATGATGGATTATGCATCTTGCAAGCATATTACAAACTTAATTAGACTTACGCAATTAATTGAAGTCTTGTAATGCAGCTCACAATCACAACCTGGTAACACTGTCTGAACCCATTTTGATTAAGCAATTTAGAAATATTAATTGAGTTGTAAATTGTTTCCCTTATTAATCAGTTAACTAGTCTCTCCTCCATTATCACTGTCCCATAACCAACACAATAACTTGTCTCCTTCATCATCATCATCCCATAATTTCCATTGATGATTTTGACTGATCTCATCAACACCACCACCCGCCGTCCAGTCCCAGTCAAGCCATTCCTGTTCATCAAATCCTGAACCACAACTTGTACTATACCATTCCTCACCGCTTATACTATCTGCATGAAAACTGCTCCAACAACCGCTGCTCCTTTCTCTTCCTTCGTCACTACTTTTTGTCTTCTTCTCTTCTTCTTTTTCCCCACTTGTTTTCTCCATGTTCTTGCTTTTAATACTACTATGGTTACTATTATTCCCACTTGCTTCTTCCACATCATCTTCTCTTTGCATCAACTCATTAGTCAGTCGCTTTATTTCACTGTCTAACCACTCATACGGTCCCCAAGCCTCTGTTATTTCTCCATTATTGCTCTCCATGCATGTCCTATGCAAGCTACTTATTGTATTTATATTATTACCTTCTACTCCCCTATTCTTTGGGGCCCCTATCTCCAAACTTTTAATTTCTTCTCCTTTATTGCTAATATTATTACTGAGTAATACGTTTGCCTTTTCTCCGGCCGTTTCTTCTGTTTCAACTTCAAGTACCGCATTTATGGCCATATTGGCGCCACTCTTTGGCTTTTTGATTGTTGTTCCGCTACTTCGCCCTCTCTTTCGCTTGCATGCTCCGGGTAGCTTGACGACGTTGATGTCACTGGCTATCGAGCTGCTGCTGCTTCTCGATCGGGTGAAGCTGTAAATTTTCCGGCTCAAATGTGAATTCCAGTAGTTCTTTATCTCATTATCTGTTCGTCCTGGTAAATGTGCCGCTATTATAGACCACCTACAACATTAAATTCCAACGTAATAAATAGATATGCTCACACTGAATCACCCAAACTACCTCAAATGTTCAATCATATTTATTTCATTATCTGTTCGTCCTGGTGAATGTGACTCGCTATTTAATTAGTTGTGAGTTTAAGTCGAACTGAAGCAAAGAGAATCAATTTATTAATTAATGAATTAAAATCAAACAATCCCTGTCGTATTAAGCAAAAAGAAGCTCAAGTTTTTAGCTTAAAATAATCAGTGAAAAGGAGAGTATCTTCAATCCTTCTGTAAAAAGCAAATACTAATAAATCAAATCCATTATATCGTTTCTTCTGTTTGGGTATAATTTTTAGAACAAGTATAATTTTTTCTAAAACGGGATGCCTTAGTACTTAATTAAAACTGTTAAAAAGAAGTTATTTATAGTAAACACTAGATTATCATTGAATCAAGTACAAGATCTCTTTGATAATAACAATATTAACTAATAATTAATAAAAACAGCTAGCTGTTAATCTGTACCTGTTACCCAGAGCACCATGCAGCTTAACAATGGCTTCATCTTCTTGAGTGGTGATGTTCCCTCTCTTTAAATCAGCCCTCAAGTAGTTTATCCATCTCAGTCTGCAACTCTTCCCACATCTCAACAATCCTATTTACAATATTATGAATGAATAATGAATATCAACATGAACATCAATAATCATTAGTAAAAAATTAAAAAAAAAAAAAATATGCTCCATTGTTGTTACCTGCATTCTTGGGAAGAGATCTCCAAGAGCCTTCACCATGAGCTTGAATGTATTTGATCAATCGTTCATCTTCTTCAGCTGTCCATCTTCCTTTCTTTAACCCTACTTTCTCACAACATGGAGCTCTCCCCATTTCCCAGAAAAATAAAAAATAAAAACACACAGATACACTCACTCACTTTACTGCACTGCAGAGATTGAGATTGTTGTTTGTAGAGAGATGGTTTGTTTGTTTGTTGTAGTTGGTTCGTAGTTGTGTGTGAAGTTGTTCTTCAGTTGTACTGTGTTCTGTTCCGTGTCGTAAGTTAATTTTGTGTTGTATGGGAAATGAAATGATTATATAAAAAAAAAAAGAGAGAGAGGGAGAGAGACAGGTCACGGACGTATGTTCGGTAGCCATTTTTGCCACGTGTACGGCCTATCTCTGTTGTTTGTTTTTTTAGTTCGTATTTTTAATATTAATGGGGATTTTTTAACTACCACTAGTTGTTATCTTAGTAAATTTCTAATTCTTTAAATTTATTTTGTTTTATCCATTTAAAAAAATAAAAGTATTTATAGATTCCCATCAAACATTTTAGAACAATATTACCATTTACACATTTGAAGAAATAATAATATTTCTGTTTTTTTTTTTTTTTTGGTATATGTAAAAATACTATTAGATTTAATGTTTGATTTTAGATTTTTGTCATTTGAGAGGTTTTGTGTTCGAGTTTCACATAATTATCATTTCTCATATTTGTAAAAATACTATTAAATTTAATGTTCGTATTTTTAATATTATTATTGTTGTTGTTGTAAGTTATAACAACAACAATAATAATAATAAGGTCGAACGACTTTCATCTATCTAAAGTTTGGCATAAAGATAAATTGATACCTAAAAGGTTTGAAAATGGTAAACAAATACTTTCTATCATATTATGTTAAGGATTTATGTTTGCTAAAAGACAGTATAGTAATTTTATTCTCACCCCAAGCCTGTTTGCACAACCCTCTTGTGTCATCGATCGATTTTTTTATCAGATTTAACATTTTTCTGCAAAGTTTGATGATAAACAATGACACTAGACCTTGTTGGCGCACGTTAGCAATAAAGATCGGTGGGTATTCTAATCTTTCCATCATTTTTGTCTTTTAGATCCTTCCTAATAATAATAATAATAATAATTTGATGGTGACGTGGATAGATCCTTCTTAGATCTTAATTGAAGAAATCTAGTAGTATTATTCTTTTTGTCCCTCCTATTCCCAATCGCTGAGCACGTATCCATGATAAGGACCGCACATTTAGACACATCCAATTGTGGGCATTTACTTGGCGTAAATGTAATGAAGAGTGTAGCTTCAAATTTTGAGCTTTTCCTTTTGTGTGCATTGAATAGCTGGGAAATGGGGGTGGCCAATTGTACGCCAAAATTAAATATGGTTTACTCATAAGCTTAATTTTATAACGTCCTCTGGATTGGACCCCATTCACCAAGATCATTGAAAGCTGCTTGCAAAAAAGAAAAGAAATACTGTACCTTGAAAGTTGAAACAACCATTTCCATCTCTAACCTACCTTTTTGTGTCCACTTCAAAGATGTGACTCTTGAATTTGATTTCTCTCCTTACAAACTTGTTTAGATATTTTTTAGCTGAAAGGGATAATTGAAAATGAATTAACCTTTTCATTTTATTTCCTTTTTTTTTTTTCACTTGAAGCCACAACATTGAATGAAAATATAAGTGCGTTTGGTTTATTATTTCATACCCTATCCCCAATCATATTCCCAAAACATTTGTTTGTTTGATTATGTAGGAAATATTATTATATTTTTTTAATTACTTTTAGATCTCTTAAGTTTATTAATTTTATTAAATACCCCAAGAAAAAAAGGTTTAAAAATTAACAAAAACACCCCCACCCACCTATAGTTGTCAGATTTTGGCAACCACCATCGGTGGTAGCTGGAATCTGTCACAACGGCCTACAAACGATCAAAATTGACTGGTAATTCGCCAATGTGACATTTTCTGGTCATATCTTTGGTCATCGCTGACGGTCAGATCTGACTTTTTGCAACCGTTGACGGCCAGATCTGGTCGTTGATTTGGCCTTTTTCGGTCAGATTCGTGGTAAATATGACCCGAAAAGGCCAGATCGACGCACATCCAGCCAGATCCGATCGATCTATGTCATAACGCCAGATTCCGACAGTGGTGGCCAGAATCTGACACTGCGGATAGGTAGAGGTGTTTTTGTCATTTTATAAAACTTTTATATATTATGGTGTTTAGTTAAATTAACAAACTTATGAGGTTTTTTTTCATTAATTTTTAAATTTTACTTCGTAATAATCACCCTATTTAACTATCCAATATTATTTCTAAAATCTTATCCAAAATAACAAAGCAAATGGACCTATAACGATTCTTATGATTCTCGTGAAACGATTAGAATGAAAAATATGGCCATACCAAGAGAGGAATGGAATTCAGAAAAAAATTAAAGACACTTGTGGATCACTCACGTGCACTTGCAGTTGCAGGCGAGGCAATCAATGCTCTTCTTGTCATGTCCATGAATCACGAAAATGAATGCGGTTGTGGTCCAAATCTACTAAGTGAATCAATGTTGATCACTTTACGTAATTCAAAATTGCTTTAACATGTTCATCCTCTCCCTCAAGGACGACAACAACAAAGAATCTCACGAATTTCAAATCATCTCAAGTGTTGTCCTTCTACATGCCATCCATTTCAGAGAAGTTGTAATTGAATTATTTGATTGTATTCATTGAAGAAGAGAGAACCTTCTTCCCCATAAATTGAACACTGTAGTACTGTACCTGCTGCGGCTGCATGTCAAAGACTCAAAGGCCTTTAAATGGAAATGGAAACAAACTTCCGTATAATATTTCGAGCACAGTGTCATTTACATAATTAGACAAACCCATTTCCACGATCAACAATGTAGCTTCTGATAATTATATGGTCAATCACACATACTTCGTGTCTTTAGTGAAGTTATTACAATTACAGTACATTTTGAATAAGTGTTACAAACTTACAATAATCTCAATCTTATGGTTAAAAAAATTTCCGCTATTTCTATCAAATATCTACTCAGGAAAGGAGTTGAATTTACATCATAACTATCGGCAGAAAAAAGATGTTCTGTTTACGTACTTCCTTTCGTTTATAATATTTACTTGAATACATGGTTTATGTCGGGGATTGCAAGCTTACCGAAGATCAACAACATCGAATCTTAAATTGGCGTTCATGAAGACATGAGAACAGTGCTCATAGAGAGAGGTTCCATCTGAAGGCTCTTCATGGGGATGAAATCCCCGCTGCTGGCAGTTGCGTATCACAGACACACCACCAGGATCAGAGAGATGAAATATGCCATGTGGACTGCAGTATCATAGAAAATATGTTAGCAAGCCATTAGTAATATGCATATAAAGGGGCCACATGATTTTTCATTTGTCAGTAATTTCTTATCCAAAATTTGTAACAAAAATAATTATATTCAAAGTTCTAATTATTGTTTGTTTTTAGTAGTTTGTGTTTTGCCTTCTTGAAATTTTTTTGATGATGTCTTTCTAATGGGTAGGCAAAGAATTAAATGTTTTCTTCAGAACTAAGAGATCTAGCCAGCAAAAATAGACCTGGAAGGTTTTAAGAGAATGAAGACACAAAACAAGGACCAAAAGGCCAGAAACAGACAACCATACCTCTTTGTACAAGAAAATCCTAATTTAATATTTTGGACTAAGCACCATGAATAATTGGTCAGACATCTTCTACAAGATATCAACTTTTCATGCACAAAAACATTAATATACAAAATTTGAGCCTCATGTATTCCACAGAGCACATGTTGCTTAGAAACATGACTGTTTAGTTATAACTTATAACCAAAGGAATAATTTTCAGTTTCTTGCCATTGACCATTGTTAGGCACTCCTGCAATTAAGAAAAATTTATGGAGATTCTTCCTTTTCCAATCACACATTCTTGTCAAAGATAATCTTCAGTTATTCCTGTAGATTGAATTTAAAGCAATACTCACAAGAGGAGACAGCAACTTACCTTGATGTATCAGTTGGAGCCATGACGATAGCAACAGCTTCAGGCAACATAATCTAAAAAAGTCCACAGAAGGAAGACCATTCAGTGAAGTACACAATAAAGGTAGATGATATATGCAGAGGACACTCATGAGAGAAGGAAAACACAACAAGGCTATATGCACTTATGCAGCCATGTCCTAAATTGTGAGATATACAGCTAATGTTTGTTAAACTACATAAAATGTACTGCTTTTACAAGTTTTCACATGTTGATTAGTCACATCACCATGAGCATTACCTCTACAGAGCATGAGTTTCCGGTGCTACTAGACTGATATCTTCAGAATTTAATACATCTACTAATTGTTTAAAAAGTATTGCAACTTAAGTATCACATTAAGTTTTTTATCATTTTTTCTATATATATATATATAGGAAATTACAAAAATAGTGAAACCACAGTTGCCTAAATTTGAAGTTCTTTTCCTGTTTATTTATAGCCTTCTGTTTTTAGAGTATTTTTGCATATTGATATGAATAAATGAACTACTACTACAATAGATGCGAAAAAAGTCCTTGTATTCTAGAAATTACGGACTAACCATTCAGGATTTCCTGCAGATAGATTGCTCTCTTTCAGAAAAAGTAAAGATTAAATAGTTACTGCAAAATGCTATTCGGTCTTAGATTCCATATCCAGCTATTTTGTGGCAAAATCACTCTTTTTATGATCGAAGAAAAATAGAATCGACCTTACTTCAGAAAAAAACTTCGAAATGTACAAATGGATACTTCCTTTTAACAAGAGAAGGTGAATGCATCGCTACAAAGATCACACTTTTAAGGAAGCATGAAAACATACATACAAACTATAACCCAAGTAAAAGATAACTAGCATCACTGTTTCTCACCTGATATGAGTAATGAGTGTGAAGATCCACTGATGACATGAAACAGGTCTGTGATGGATGTGTCTGAAAATAAACATAAGATTCAGATAACAACAACATAACCTCCATATAACAACCTCCATGGATATTAACTATTGACTCATAAGTTAATGCATCCAATAGTATAGCCTGCCTATTTAATTAAAGCGAGTTAAGTTTTATGAGCACTATATTACTTTTATTTGCATTCACAAGTATGCTATCATGAGTTATCAAACAGATCAGCATTCTTATATTTTTATACAAAATATCCCACCTAGTACCAACTTAGCCGAGAAAAGCACCATAATAAGAACTTAAAAGGGTCCCGGATGTACAAAGATAATAAGAGAATGATTTACTCTAAAGTACAACATGTTAGATGTCCCTTTGTTCTATCAATAACATTCAATTCTGCATTCTAAACATTTCTTCCTTTTCGTCTTTTTTTCGCCCTCTCTCTCTATCATCTCATCATTCTTCTCCTACTTCCAAAATTAACAAATCAAGACAACACTCAATTGAAGCAGTTTCTAACTTTTCTAATTTCAAGTGACTTCATATTTTGAGTAATTCCAAATTGAGGGGAACATGATCATTTATCACTACACTTATTCATTTTTCAGTCCATACAATTGCGAACTGGAAGAAGTATATTCATAGTCATGCTTAATGATAAAGAAAGAAAAGCCAACACAACTCAGATAATCACTAATTCACCATGTACCTACCAAGAATGAATGATCCAGAAAAACACAAAAGAAGAATCCAGAAGATACAAAATCAGAACTTTTGAGAATCTTTGTTCCGAATAAATATAAAGAGCCACCACAAATGAGAACATGTATTTAATAGCAAAAAATTCTAGAATAGATGAAAAGTTACAGGCCATCAGGGCTCTCAAGAACTTACATGAATCCAACCAAGAGGAAAAAGAGATAATCTGTCTTGAACTTCAAAAATTTCTTCTTCATTCAATGTCTGACACTGAACATTAAAATTTGTTTTAGTGCAATAGTACCAAAAGCGTATAAATAAAAATGAAGATATAATGAAAATCTGACAATATATAAATGTAGAGATATCTGTTAGGAATAGTGTAAATATAGGTAAGGGTAATTATGTAATTGTGATACGGTAAATATATTAGGGTTTTATATTGTATTTTTTTAATTGAATAAATATATGAATTCCTTCTCTACGAACATGGTATCAGAGCCAAAACCATAGAAACCACAGGTGGCTTTGTCTGGCGTCTTCTGTGGCTTTTCCGGCAACTTCCAGCATCACATGAACAGTGTCGCGTGAACAGTGTCGCGTGAACAGTGTCTGTGCGTTTCCTGGGAACTGGTCTGTCCTCTGTTGATCTGCTTTCTGTGTTTTCCGATTTGGTTTCTCTCTCTCTTCGATTTGGTCTGTCCTTGTTTTTCCGTGATCCGATTTCTGGTGAGATTGTTTATTTATTATATTTAGCAATTGTTTTGAGTTCTTGGTATCAGTTGTTAGACTTGGAAGTGTGGATTTGGTGATTTGAATTTTAAAAGTCATTCGACAGTGTTGTTTGTTTGTTTGAATTAAGTGATTGAATTTGATTCTTCATTTATTGAGTTGTGGTGATTTATTTGGTTGTTGGGCTTATTGAGTTGTGATTTATTGCGAATATGGGAGATTCCAGCAAACATATAGTGACTGAAATTTCAGTCACTCCTTCCACCAAATTACGGATCGGAAACTATTGGGAAAGCAAAATTTTGTTCAATGGCAATGAACAATTAGATGATATGTTTCCAACATTAACATATAGGATCATTTAACTGAGGATCCACCTTCAGAAACAGAAACTAATAAGAAAGCTAGGAAGAAATGGTTGATGGACGATGATAAATTGTTCAATCAGATTCAGAACATTCTTGTGATACAGTTAAAGAATTGTGGGAGTATCTTGAGTTTTTATACTCTAGTAAACAAGACTTGTCCCATATTCATGATTTGTTGTTAAGGATTTATCGAGCTAATATGTAGGAAAAGACGTTACTTGAGTATTATACAGAAGTGAAACAAGCTGTTCAAGACAAGCAAGCTATATTTCCTGTGACTGCAGATGTTGTGACGATGAAAGAACAAGAGGACCAAGTGATTGTGTAGTGTTTTCTAGCTGGGTTGAGGCCAAAATATGATGTAATTTGGACACAGCTCCTAACTGGTAACAAACTTCCTTTTTTTACTGATGTTTATGCTCGTCTTCTTAGGGTTAGTAAAGGGAAAAATTGAGGCACTACACAAGATTCTGCTATAGATAATGCTGCTTTAGCTAACATGAAGAGTAACAATGGTAAAGGAAACAAAGGGGTGAGTCAGGATATGGAGAGTAGTCGTGGTCGTGGTACTCGCATTTGTTTCCATTCTGGTGCTGAGGGACATGTCAAAAGGTATTGTTGGAAACTTCATGGAAAGCCTCAGAATGGGCAAGGGTCTCAGATGCCACTCAAGATGGCCTCTTACCTACTCCTTCCATGGTTACTATCCCTACCGATGAGTATGCTCACCTCACATAGGTTGCTAGTCCTTCGTCATCCATTCCATCGATTGCCGCTACACTGACACGGTTACGTAATCCTACAGCTTGTGTGTCTACTTCTAGTCTCAATTGGGTAATTGATTTTGGTGCTACTCATCATATGACAGGTGATACAGGTATCCTTTCGTCATTCACTTCATCTGCTGATTTGTCTTTTGTCACTTTAGCTAATGGGTCTACTATGTCTGTTATAGGGTGTCGTACTGCTAATTCCACCAAATCTATATCTCTCTCCTCTGTTTTGTATCTTCCTCATGTTCCTTTTAATTTATTGTCTGTCAGTCAAATCACTAATACATTTGACTGTGGCGTTTATTTTTTCCCTACTCATTGTGTTTTTCAGGATCTTGGGACAAAACACGTGAATAAGATCAAATATTGGTCGTAAAGTAATTATTGCAACCAAAACCAACAGGCATTATATGGAACTGCTGCAAAGATGAGCTTTATACCTCAAGGTGTGGGAGACACTTTAGCTAATCAAAGGAGAAGTAAAAGCACATATGTATCTCTCCACATAGGAGCAGAAATATTTTTGAACATGTTATTTGCATCTAATAGACTAAAGGTATACCTCCCAAGGAGAAAAACTACTTGTTTTTAGGTTTATCTAGAATGTCCAAAAATCTTAAATTATCTCCAACATGTATGCATTTTATGAGTCCAAATGAAGCCTGAATTTCTACCACTTATTCACAGATTCAAAGTTCACGAGTTGGCAGCACAAAATCGATGGTAGCTAAGTACACAGTAATTAAAACACAAACGAAATGCCAAAACTGAACCTTAAAGCTAAAAAGGTTAAACTACTATTTGACAGGACAAACTCAAAACTAATTAATAAAATGGATAAAAAATTAAACAAAAATAATTGCTATCATACCGAATCAGATGTTGACTCCTGCTTTGGGATAATGAGTGTAGTGATATGGAAAACCCTGTTTTTCTACAGCCATATAAAAGTAAAATATAAGAAACAGCGTCAGCACTTCTGGATGTTACCACTTACCCACAAAAAAGCAAGCAGTATATCTGTTCCCAGTAAAAAGCTTAGTTCTCTTACCAGCGAACCAGCAAGAATGCCACAGGTTTCTAAATTTTTTTCTGTATTTGCCCGAGCCAATCTCAAGAAATCTTGCATCAATTTTACTGGCTGCAGGTAAAGTCAAAAGAATAAGCATCAGTCGAAATCAAGTGCTATAAGTATCATAACCACGATTTGATAACAGAATACCACCAGAATTTAAAAAAAAAAAAAAAAGAAAAAAAAAAAAAAGCCACAATAACATATATATCAGCACAGAGAGACCTACAATGTGTAAATGTTGATAAGAACTAGAGTTCAGTGTTCCATCCTGAGAAGGCTTGGCTGGACCAGGTCTTGGATCAGCAACTTTAGCTGGAGAGATTGGAGCAAATTCCTGCTGCACTTGAGCAAGAACAGGAGGAGGAGAAGGTTGCTTGATACTGACAAACTGAAAAGGATCTTCCCTTGCTTCATTAACCATTGGAGGACACGAATCCTCCGCAGGTTTTAACCATCTACCATCATCTAAGGAAAGAACGGACTCCATAGTAGGTACAGCCCCTCCAGAATCACCAACTTTTGATGGAACCATATCATAAGGACCAGCCTGATTCAGGCTACAATGGTTGGTAAAACCAAACAAAAAGAGTTAAGGAAGCCACACTTTATTGAAAGAAACTTAACAAGAAGTATATTGGAGAGCATGTAAACTTTCAAATGATAAAAGATAAAATAAAAGAATCCTATCAAAAAAATAAGCCAAGTAAAATAAGCATATTTGAATATTTAAACAAAAACAAGTAAAAGTTTTACCTTGTATCTTCATTTGGGGATAGGTCAGTGCTGCTTGGATATTGAACCTGTATTACACAACAACATTTCATGCCGTTTTACAGTTAAGTGAACCAAAGCAAATATAACATCAGTTATGAAAATTCTAGAAAATATTACCTTTGTCCCTGCACTAGGACCAAGCCATTGTCCTCGAAGACCATTTGGACCTAAGAATGAGTGTCTAGACAAAGTTTCTTTGTTTGGAAGAGGCAGGTTAACAGATCTGCACATATCCAGGAGAATCATTCTATGTATGTAGACCTTATCGAAATTGCCACACTAAATTTTATCTTATAGACATAATCTAATAAAAATAAGTAGTCTAACTTCCAAACATATAGCCAAATCCAGTCGAACAATAGATAAAAGAAAGAAAATAAGCTCAAGAAACAAAAGAAGGAAAAGAGCTCCACATGACAGCACCACAACAAAGCATAACAGTTCCTTCTTTACAACTATATAACAAGAAAACCTTCATGAAGCAAAACAACTGACTAATAAGGACTGCAGATCTTGCCCTAAACTATAACTCAACTGCTACTGCCTACTAACTAAAAAGCAGAATATCTCCTCTACACTTCCCCATGCTTCTAAATGATGATTCTACTATCCAAAAAAGAAAACAGTACTTACAGTCTATGGAACTGCTTGTCAAGTTGCACAAAACTCGATGATGAAACTTGGGTGCGATCATTATTATTCCTCAATGAAGACTGAATTGCCATGCTGGAAGGCTGCAGCCAAATGAAAAATAATATAAATAACCAACAAACAGAAAATCCTACATTAAATTGTGAATAAGCAGAAGAAAAATTATTATATGGAGCTGAATCAACAGTATGATTTAGGAGCAATTAAAAGGAAGAAAAAGGGAAAGGGAAAACCACAGAGAACAACAACTGAAAGAAACATCTTCAGCACATAATTAACATACAATTCAATGAAGATAACATCAATAAATTAACACTGCTACTATCATTTCACAGTTTTGCAAGAATAATATATCAAACATGCTAATGCTTAAGTTCTGTACCCGCTTTGTATCCATGCTCGAATGAGAGGTTTTATCGACAATAGGCCATTCCAAAGAAGACGTTTCTGCACCATATGAAGTCCTGTCTGCGCTATCAAGTTCAACCAGTTGAGCTCTTCCATGGGCTCTATTAAGTTCATTGACTCGATGCTGGAACTCTGGCTTCAAAGACTCAAGTTCATCGAGCACAGAAATCAATCTCTGGAACAAACAACCATAAATACCAATCACACAATGTTACTCATATACTAACGCATTACACATACTCAAGGTCACATAGAGTAACTAAATGAACTAATAAACCTCAGGCTCACCTTCTTGTAAGTAGCTCTTTCTTTTGGAAGTATCGCCTGGTAGTCCCGATGAAATGGTATTGTTTCTGACACCAAACTGCAAGTTTAAAAAAAAAAAAAAAAAAAAATTGATGATAGGCCTATGCTTCTGATTTTCTTAAGAGAGAATTCAAAAACATCGAAAATAATTATCAAATTACTAAATTATGTTGCTGTCTCTACCTTGAATATCTTAGTAGTATTATATACAAATCTACAATATTCTTCTCCTCCCGATAAATACTAGCCTGGACAAAACAAAAACTTTCACTAAATATGATCGAAAATTAAAACAAAACACGACAATGTTAATAATATTTTTATAAAAAAAATTAATAACAATGCATATAATTGAAGGAATCAAGTAAATAACGCCAATTCATAACTTAATCGTGAAGATAATCAGAGAACTTAAAAGAACGGAACCTGTTTGAGGAGATTATCGGCGATTCGATAGTAATATCGGAGAGGAATTCGATTATCGACTTCGACTCTCCTAGTGATAGAATTGACGTTGATCCTCATTTTGTTAATCGTATGCGGCGACTATTGCCCGCTCTATAAAACTCCGATCGGCTTCTCAGGCGACACGCCACGAATCCTCTCGCTGTCCGTGATCGGAATCTAGAATCAAAAGCTTCAACGTGCGAGTTAAGGAATGTGAAAACTTAGTCGTTTTGAAGGATGGAGGTCGTTTTTACTTTTTATGTCGACATAGTGAGGTGCAGAGAAATTTGGGTACTAACACGGTATTTGATACTCAATTCCTCTGCGTATGTTCTTGTGATTTCGTGCCAAACACAAGGGCAATTTGGTCAATCTCTAATGTAAACATAACACTTGCCACTTTAATTTAAGAAAAAAAAATGTAATCTTAAAATGAATGCATGTCAAAGTTAAATTAATATTTGTGTAATTACTAGGGGTGTTTGGTTTCGGGTAACTTGTATTTTTTAAAAGAACCAGAACTAGAATCGGAATCGACGGTTCCGGTTTCTAGGTACCCAGAACCAGAACCTGTAACAACAGTACCCTGCTAATTTTATTACCCCCTAAAAGTTTTTAAAATGGCAAAAAAACCTTAAAAATTTACAAATGTCCCCCCAATTGGCACTTGTTAACAAAAATAAAATTACAAATTATATAATCAAAATTACAAACTCCATTACTTTGTAAAGGTAGATTCTCAAAAGTCAAACCAACATACTTTAAATGTTATGAAATATAAATATAAATGTATTCAAAATTACAAACTCCATTACTTTGTAAAGGTAGATTCTCAAAAGTCAAACCAACATACTTTAAATGTTATGAAATATAAATATAAATGTATTTACATTACTTTTTCTACAAAAGTTTTTATTAACCTGCTTACTCTTTAATTTTATTTTATATTAGTCTCGGTTTCCAGTTCCGATTCCTAACTATAGGAACCGAAATCGGAACTGCATAGTAACGGTTCCAAAAATTTAGAATCGGAACCTACTCGTTGACGGCTGGTTCCGAGTAGGAACCGAAACCAAACCCCAGGTACCCGCCAGTTCTAATTCCAATCGGTTCTTTTGAACACCCCTAGTAATTATTCAGTACATTATTCAGTGTTTATCAAATTTATTTTTAATATTACAATTCTAAAATAATAGTTAACATCAGACTCAGTGATTAGTTGAAGTGTACGTAAGCTGGCCTTAGGCCCGATGATTAGTTGAAATACACGCAAGCTAGCCGCAACAAGCCGATCACAATATATATATATATATTCAAAATTTAAGTCTTTTAATTTCGAAAAATAAAAATCAATTGTGAGAATTGGGAAAACACTTCAAAATTTGACATCTACTGTTTCACTAATAACAAAATGTGTAGCAGATACACAGAAAAGTAATACTGCAAATTTTACATTTAGGATCAAAGCTTGGTTACATGCCAAAAAGTACACAAAATTACTAGAGCATTTGCAAGTCATTTCTTTGATTTGCTGGGCAAGCCATAATGGGAAACTAGCAGAGTGGCATAGAGAAGCTGATTCCAGGAATCTGGAACACCGGGAAGGCACCAGTGGCTACAGTCCTGGATCATTCCAGGGCTTCTTGGGATCTCCATTTGCCTGTAGATTGAAGGATGTCCATCTTGTCGGTAGTCTGACATCTTTGTAATGTTGAGATAAAACACTGGTGTTTTCATTTCAGCTATTACTGATTCAAGGATTTTCATCATCCATGGATAGTGAACCATGTAGTTCTCATTAGTTATGGGTTGTGCCTCAGCATCACAGCGCCCACCTGTGTTCCATTGCCCTTTCCTGTAAAATGTAATGCAACAATCAACAGAAGTTCTGAATAAGCTTTAATTTGTTACTCATGGATAGATAATTACCTGAAGTGAGGAGCTGAGTAACCGCGAAAGAAGACCCTGGTACGGTTACTGTCAACATTTGCATCAACCCATTGAGCCCAAGTTTTCAAGGCTTTTGTGTATGCTTCTGTAACTTCAAGTCTGTTATAGACATGGCTGCCTTCCTGGAAGTAATTAATGCTGAAATGAAGCAAGAAGTAGAAGATCAGTGTAATATTAGTGAAGTCCGCAAACGTTAAAGGTGAAAAGAGAATTATATTTTTACCCTTTGAAGGTTTTGTGGTGAGTCCACCAGTGGTCAGTGTTGAAGATGATTATATCAGCATCATAATACTTGGAGGAAGGGCCTTGAATCATGTCAAGCCTTAGAGTGTCTCTTCGTTTTCCAATCCTATCTGAGATCTTCGATTCTTGAACAAGAAATGGTGATTTGATGAAGTCTATGGAGCAGTTGTAATCCTACACCACCACAGAAACATAAACCATAAATTGCTTCTGCTAAAATTCTTTCATAAGGATGACATATTGGATGAACAAAATCAGCAAAATGGTAACAGGATTAAAGATTTACTCTGAATATGAAAGAATAGAAACCCTGAGTCCTGAACTGTCGCCTACCCGAAACCTCATAGAGTGTGCTTTTATCTTTCAACGATTCTCTCAATGCACAGACCAAAGACTCCCACATGTTCCTATTCAAAGAGTCACCAACAAACACCAATCTCTTCCCTCTCAGCATCCGCAACATTTTTCTCCCATCAAACCTATACGCAACCCAAGAAATAGTACAAAATGAAGAGGAGAATGAACCATATATTATATAATCCTTGAACAAAGTTGTGATGCCAAACCTTGGAATGTGACACCCACGTGGCTTCCATTTATATCTGAGGTAATAAGAATCGGGTCTTCCATTCTTGAAGCAATTGAAAGCGTCGTCGATATAAGGGCAAGACCCTGGTTGGTAAAGAGGTTCAAAATCATCAACCACCCAGTTACCATTAAAGATATCACAAGAACTCAGGTTTTCTATCAGGTTATAACTTTCTTGATCATTTCTTGAACTCTTATGAGGTCTTTCGATTACAGTGACTGAAGAGATCGTGCAGTTGCTCTCACAGTCCAAGACAAGGCATGTGTTTGAGGAAGAAATTGAAGAGAAGGGAGAGATGTAGTTTGCAACAACACGAATGCGGGAAGCAATAACTGAGACTAGAATGGCCGGTGAGTGATTGGTCCGTGATGCTGAAAGGAGGAGAATTGAGAGAAGGAGAAGTGAAATGAGTAGAATGTGGGATCCTGGATTTGAGAGAGGACATGATGATGATGATGATAGTGTTCTTGAGAACTGCCCTAGAGTGGACAAGAAGTTCTTGAAAGATGCCATAGAAAGCAAAGAGGGAAACGAATTAGGGAAGAAATAAGTTGTGAAGAGCAAGATTTTTTGGAGGGAATGGTCCCTCTGATTTATGAGAAACCGTTATTGGGGTTATCTATTTCGGTGGAACTCGCGACTCTGCAATTTGATTTTAGTTTGGCTTCCGAAATCAATCTATAACCAGTTTTCTTTCTTTAAAATTTATTTTTTATAGTTTAAATTCATCACTCATAACAATTAATCAGGCCCCATTTCTCACCAATGCAAAGAGAGATCACACATAGGAACCAAGGATGTTAACAGCATCGTATATGTATATTTATAGCTCACATATTCTGTTAGTATTTATACCAATCTTTCACAATAAATACATAAAATTTTCTTGAGTTTCTGCGGCAGTCGTAAAACACATAACATGAGCAAGACTCATTCATCCCATTAGTTATCTATTTCAATCCACATATCATCTATCAAAGCAATAAGCCACGAGCTATGATCATCACTCCGAGACCAAACAGAATCTTGTAGGGAGTCTTGTATGCACTGTTTTCTTCAGCTTGAATATGCTCAGCTACATTGAAGTCACCTACACAACACAAGCACCAGCTTATGATATTTGGCAATAATTGAAAGGAAAATAATATTATCTGAAGAAGCTAGTAATAAGTAAGCTACCTCTTTCGGGGCCATAGCCGCAACCCGCCTTGATGGTGTCTTTAATATCATTTATGGTTGCCCTATTGTAGAATATGAAGTTTGCTAGGACGTCTTCTATGCAGTCAAGCACCAGGTGTGTCTCTGTAAGGCACGGCCCATTGCAGTATTCTTCGACATGTTCAGGAGACACATTGATGTTTCCACTCTGTGTCAATCTGCAGGACTCTTCGCAGTTGCTGTAAATCTAAAACTTTGTCCAAATGGAATCAACATAAAATAATTCCAGAAGGAAATGTTAGAAATTTAATATGAAGGAAGAATCATAATAAAGTTGAAGTATAATGAACATATGTAAAATGGGGTGCGTCTTTCATTTATGAGAGTTCATGTCACTTACATGTTTATCATTGAAACATAGCAAGGCTTTGGCAACAATTTCAGCTGGATCACCACCACCAGCGCCCCGTGTACCACCAATGCCACCTGTACCGCCAACGCCGCCTGTACCACCAATGCCACCTGCACCACCACCAACGCCACTGTACCACCAACGCCGCCTGCACCACCCACCACCACGCCGCCTTACCACCAAAGCCCCTGTACCGCCACCAGCGCCGCCTGCACCACCAAAGCCGCCTCACCGCCACCAGCGCCGCCTGTACCACCAAGCCCCTGCACCGCCACCAACCCGCCCGTACCGCCAATGCCTGTTTGAGCATTTGCTTTCCCTGTCAAGAGTTGGTTCAAATAATCAGGTATTATAACCAAAAACCATGCAACGCAAAGGCTACAACACTTTATTTCTTTAATACCAAAGTTGCAACAGAAGAAGAAATGCAGACAAGAGCTATGCTAAAACGCAAGGCTGAACGGTCACTGAGTATGCATTATAAAAGATTAAAGGCAGTACAAACTTGTGAAAGAGAGAGGTGATCTATGGCTAATTATATAATGCAGTTCCACAAGGCACAAACTGTTGCATTTAATGGTTAGTTGCTAATCTTCCCAATTTTCTAATCTCATATTGACTGAAGTGAAATATTTTCAAATATTTTTTAAACAATTTGATAGACCCATCTGCGATCTTGCCTGATACGTTCACTTTTCATTTCATTGTCATTGGCCGAGGAAATAAATCATCCAGATTTTTCTTTTTATTCACATTTGCAAGTATTGAACTGAAGTTTAATAAGATGGACAAGGTAAGAATTGAATAGCATAGTAAGTTTGGTGGATTCATTGGAAAATGAATAAACTTGGTGGGTTGCTTTTTTGTAGGGTATATTTGAGGAATGGAGAAGACTAAGGACAGAGTAGGTGGAATGCAAGTCACCAACTATTCTGCAATTTGAGGACTTTTCTATTTTAGTGTTAAAATCAAACCTAAAAAATATGTTCATTTCCAAGGTTTCTTTTCATCAGGAGGAAAATAGTCTTTGGTTCATGGCATAGTAATCCACGCAGAGAAGCTAGAATTGGTACATGAGGACAGTGGCAACAGTCCAAGTGAACATGTGGAGTGTTGAGACATTTCTCAATGAAGTTAAGAAATCCCATTTCGGCACCTTCCATAAGGTTAGGTACCCATAATTTAGAAAACAATGTGAAGGAAAATAAATTATATTCATTCCACAGCTTTGGTACATCTAATGAGTAGCGTCCTGAGAATGATATAGCCACCAGAAGAAAAAGAAAACAAAACTTTTGAAGAATGTGACAACTGTTTTCTTGTATCCTAAAGAATGTATACACTATACAGAGTGAATACTGAAGTACATTCCCCTGGATGTCCCCTGTTGATTCAATTCTGCTTTGCCTTGCGAAGTTACCACTTGCCTGTGGAGAGCTCCATTAGTCATGGTACACACCGTTGCTTTGCATAAAAAGATGATACATGTCGAAGTCTCAAACTTAAGAACTGATCCTAATCATCACGTCTTCCTACAGTACTTCCTCTTCTGACCAGTTAGTATGAAGTAACATTGATGTCGCATTAATTCATACCCAAAAGGTGAGTTGTGGAAAGAAAACCTGTCTCACACCCCAAAACAGCTGCAAGCTACTGATATTGTGCACCTTGCCTATGGGGCTATAGGAGCAGGTTTATTCTTACCTAATGATAAAACTACATGTCAATTTCTCATTGCTGATTCATGTCCATTGCCTGCAGTAGAGCCATGGCATAGAACCTTGAGCAGGATAAATTGAGCAATACCCACTGTTGCGAAGGCTTATCTCCAGGCAACCTGTATCCCTTGATCCAAATTAACAACTGGTACGTAAATCCCACAGGAATGAGTGCCATATTCTTCCAGAAAGCGTGAAAGAATTTTCCATGAAAAAATTAAGTATCTTGTTATGATTATATGATTGTAAATGATGCCACAGATGCAAAAAGCATAACATCTTGATACTTTATACCCATCAGCTTCAAAATGTAATCTCAACAAAGTGCACTAATCTTTGAAACAATTGAGGCAGGATCCTAAAGATTGGGGTGGATTTTAAAGAAAAACCCCGCTCATTATATCTTTTCACAATATCACAAGCATCTTCAGAGCAGCCATTGTGAATCAGAGTTTCCAAAATTAGTTAGATGTATGGAATCAGGAATGCAACCTTTGCTTCCATTGAAAGAAACATCTCTTTTGCTGCAACAAATCTTCCTGATTCACACAATGCCTTGATAATCACCATAAGTATAATTGTCAGGACTCCACCAGTGTCAACAGGAATAAAAAGCTTCTCTGCTTTCTCAATCTTATTCATTCTACAAAAACTTTGGATTAGACATTGAAAGAGTAAATATCTGGACTTATTCCATCGCTTGCATCTTCCTTAAAGTCTCCATGATCTAGCGACATCCCCAATGACACACAAGAACGGATCAAAATAGTATGTGATAGCATTTGGAGTAACACCCCACTCGACCATTTCAGTGAAACAATTTAAAGCGTCCTCAAGGTGCGCGCTCTACAAAGCCCGTCGATAATTGAGCTAAAAGTGAAGATATCAGGTTTCAAACCACATTCTAAAAGCATCTCCAAAGTTCACGAGCCTTAAGTACCTTTCCATCCTTGCAATGCCCACAATCAGGGTATTGAAAGTGACGAGGTTAGGAGCAATACCTCTACCTTGCATCTCTCTAAATGTCTCTGCAGCCCTCTCCACATATGATCTGCAAAAACAATCATCACCATGTTATATGAATATACATTGGCACAAGTCCTTCCTTGATCATGTTCCAAATAGCATCCCCATCCTTTCCTCTTCCTGCTTTGTATAGGCTTCAATGAGCATGAGATACGTATTAAAACCTGCTTCACACCTCGCTCAATAAAACTCTTAAAATTCCAGATGTCTCATCAAGATTCAATCCAGTTATCAAACAAGTCATGGTAGTGTTAAACGTCGAACTTTCAGGCAAGTAACCTCTCTCCCCAACCTTCCTCAAGAACATGGCTGCCTCTCTTGCCATAGAGTTATTTGAAAGGCAATATAGTAGAGTATCACAGGCTAATTTTGCATCACGGCTCTCTTTCCATAAACATTATTAACAACTCAAACGCCTTACGAGGGGCGAACAACGAAACACCCCATGAACCAATGATCTAACAGTAGCGTCATTGGGACTACCTTCCTTTCCTTCATCATCTCTAAAACCCTAAAAGCTCATCTACCCTCTTTGCATTCACAAAACCATCAATAAGAATTGTATATGTAAACACGTTAGGTGAAATACCCACTCCCTCCATCTGTTTGACTAATCGAAGAGCCTCATCACCACACCATTCTACAAACTCCATGAATAATATATATGTATGTGAACCTATCCGGTTTGCAGTTATCCACCGACTCTCTTGAAACTCAAGTATGCTAAATCAATGGAATGGATTTCACCAGTGCATCAATACAGCATATATACACCTTGTACTAGGACTAATACCCAAAAAAGAAATCTGCCCAAAAATTCAGCACATATTTAATAATCCTAACCTGCCCCAACTACCAATTAGAACACAAAGCAAATCCTCACTGAGTTGAAAACCCGAGTTCTTAATATCTTTAAGCAACTCAACGATAAAATAACAGACCTTTTCTGTAAAGTACATAGCTAAAACACCCTTAACCAATTGATTCTTGAAAACAAGGGGTCGATATTAGAAACCCAGATATAAACCTCAAGGGTGCAATGGGTTTTCTTGATTTTGCATAATCTCACTCAATTGGGAACCAACTGATCCTTTTAGCCTTCAATTCGTGGTTTAGCAAAAAACCAGTCATTTCTAGCAAGAATTGAGAAATGTTACTGTGATCAATCGTTTGAAAGCGTTTATTAGCTGAAATGGACTGTTTGGTATGAAACAGAATTGGTTTATTAAGGAAACGAGAATTCAGTAAAGAAGAAGAGGAGTTGTTACCTCTTGAAGATGCTTCAGTGTTGGTGTGGTTTGCTTATGAACGAGAGATGGTTTCGGTTTAGCGTTTGATATTTTGTGACTAGATGATTCTTCAGAAATATGTTTTAGTGAAGGTGTTGCCCTAGAAGCTGAAGAAGAAAACCCCTCATGTCCCTCTCTGCAGTAGCGGTTGCAGGCCATGCTTGCTCCTAGAAAAGCTTTTTAATATAAAACGACTTGACGTTTGAAGTACAAAGGCGACATGTCGTTCTAAACAATTCGGTACGTATCCTTAGCTCCTTTACATCTATTGGCCCATTTAGTGTTGGGCTAGGAAATTTATTAGAATCAATTTTGAAATATCCTTTTCTAGCATTATAGTTAACGTAGGTTCCGTTTGGTTCAAAATTTTGGGTTTTTGAAAATTTTTTTTTAAAAAAAGTTAAAAAAAAGTTGAATTGGATGGTATTACGATGTAAGAATTATAAATTAATAAAATACCCTTTATGTTTATTTATTTACAAAAACACCCCTATAATAAAACATTAAAAGTTAACAAAAACACCTCCAACCAACCCTCAAATACGGACAGCCGGCCACCACCGTCGGAGGGTGGCCGGAGTCATCGTATCGGCGTATAACCAGCTAGATCTTGCCGCTCATGCGTCGATATGGCCTTTTCCAGCCAGATCCATGGTGGATCTGGCCGACAAAGGCCAGATCTGGCCGTTGACGGCCAACAACGACGACCGTTTGTTGGCCGTCAACGGCCAGATCTTTGGCCTTAGATCTGGCCTTTTTCGGCCAGATCCACCGTGGATCTGGCCGAAAAAGGTTAGATCAGCTCACTACCGGCCAGATTCAGCCGGTATGCGCCATCCTAACAAATTCCAGCCATTTTCCGGCAGTGGTGGCCAGAATCTGGTAAATGTGGATTACTGGGTTGTTTTTGCAATTTTTAAAAAAATATTTAGGGGTTTTTAATTAAATTATCAAATTTAAGGGGTTTAAAAAAAGTTGAATAATATTGGGAGTAGTATTCCCAAAAATCAGAGTTTTTTGGTATTTTACTGTTTAACTTTTTTGGGAATACTAAAAGTAGTATTCCCAAAACTGAAACAAACGAAGCCGTCCTTTTTATTATGATTAAAATACATAAATTCTTGGTTGAATTTTGTAAATACGTGAGAGAAGATGCCTCAACAATTAAATGAACTAAAATTTAATTGATAGTTATTAAATCGAAGAAATTTGTGATACATCAATTTGTACCCAATACTTTGTGTATTTAATCGTATATGTAACACCACTCATCAATAATGCTACGGACACTGGGATTTTTGCACCGAAATATTGTACCGGCTTACGTGTAACACGCCTCTGATTTTTTTAACAATTTTTTTCTAGTGAACGGCCGTCCATCATCAAATTTGGACGGCCGTTCACTCACATGGACGCCCATCCATATTATATGGACGGGCGTCCATATACAAGGGACGGGCTTCCCCATTTAAAGGACGCCCGTCCATAAATAAAATACAATAAAAAGTTTTTATAAACATTTGGGACGGCCGTCCATCTATTATGGATGACCGTCCCTTCATTTTGGATAGGCGTCCGCAAATAAGGGACGCCGGTCCTTAACCAAAATATGAAAAAAAAAAAAAAAAATTGGGGACGGCCGTCCCTTAAGTTTGGGCCCGTCCATACTTAAAAAAAAAAAAAAAACACCTTCTTGCTCTTCTTCTTCTTAAAGCCAAGCCAAAACTGATCGCCTCTCCAGCCACTAATAATTTACTTTTCCAGATAACCGTGATCCCTCTTTACACGCTACAAACTAAACCATAAAACCAATGCCAATAACTCAACTAAAGCAAACATCACACCGAGAAGTCTACACATTCACAAAAAACAATTAAAAAGAACATCCAGATAAACAATGGATTTCAAAACAAAAACTAACTATCAAAACAATTTACTTTTCCAGAAGGGACTTCTGTGGCGAGGAGCTTTTGACCTGGGCACTGGAACCCAAATCTAGCATTAACCTCTCATCCTCTACCTGGACGATGAAGGCTATGAGAGAGGTTCAGGCTTTTGCTCTGTTGCTGAAGAGTTAAAATTTGCGGCCACTCAATTTAGGCGCCTTCACAGTAGACAGGTTCAGCACACCTTCACAATAGATAGGTTATACTCATAACAGTGGAGGACATGGGCCGCATGCTTCATCCAAGCTGCATGGCGCCATTGTTCCAAGAGAAAAAAAATGGAACATTTCCGAAAGGAAGAAGAAGAAGCAGTATCCATGTTTAAAATTTTTTTTTTTTTTTTTTTTAGTATGGACGAATGGACGCCCGTCCAAAAGTAATGGACGCCCGTCCCAAATATTTATAAAAACTTTTTATTGTATTTTATTTATGGACGGGTGTCCATGTGAGTGAATGGCCGTCCAAATTTGA